CTATTTGGTAGTGTCCATTTAGCTTTTGAACTGAGCTTGATATAGCGTTGAATGCTATACGATCTTCAACAGACATCGATGGGGTAAGACTAACTGGGTCTTTGAATTCGGTTGAATACAACTGCTCAAACTTATCTTCTAGTTCGTCCTTAGCTGAAAGGTGATTAAGTGCATGATGGTTTGACCTGATGGTGTATGTTTGACTCAAAACAGATACAGAACTGTCCAATCCATATGGACCTATGTCGTTCTCTTCGATAGCTTTTCTTTTCAATTCACGACGTCTTCGACAGGCTTCGTGAAACTGGAAAACACTCTTATCACAAACCATCCCATCCTGTTCGATGATTCCATCAAATAATGTTGGAAGAAGAGTCCTTTTGTCTTCTAAGACAGAGAAACCACTTGTACTTACATGAGTAGGACGTGACCGATAGCGATGTGTTTCAGGATCCGAAGTGCGGTCTAATAACTTGCTTTCCGACACATTTGTCCTTATTCTTTTAGCTTGAGATGTTCCTGATGCAGAATCATTGCTACTACTATATGAATACTGCAGATCAAATTTAGTAGGGATTTTATTTGTGGATAGTGTACCTTGCTTTTCACAGAATTTTAAGACATAATCGATTTCGTACTGAGTTGCTTTGCGTAACCTGCTGACGGGTGTCCATTCTACAACGCGATCCCAAATATAACGTAGGCGATACTCTGCTCTTGTACCATGTCGCTGACGATGGGCTAGAACCTCAGCAAGATATTGGAAGTCGTTGCGCCATGCAGCCATTACATAACTACCCACCTCATTAATTGCAACCATTCTCAAAGTTCGTGAGTCAACTAGAGCAGCAGGCATTTGTAACCAACTGATAGTATTAATCAACAGTCTGCCATCATACACTAAACGTACTACTTTCCGTGACCTGCAGAGAGATTCGTTATTCTTTTCAGTAACGTTGTTGTGTACATCATTTAACTCGAAATGAAAAGGTCCAAGATTATTACACCTCTGTTTATTAGCATCGGAATTATGAGCTCGGCAATGCTGTCGAATAACTGGCATTTCTCTTTCACCTGCAACTAGGTCGACTTCCGCTAAAGTTAACGTTTCTTCCCGTTTATCTTCAACTACTTCCTTAGCAGAATCTTCTAGATTTTTCGAATCCTTACAGTCTGTCTGAGAAGCTGTAACAACTTTAGCCACTGCAGTAAAAGGACACGAAGCAGAATCATGACTTGTAGATGATGATGTCCATAAATTAACCGAAGCATCTTTCGACACATCAGCATTCACAACGCTTGATGAAATATTTGATCCGAGAACACAGTCAGATGGAATGTCTTTCTTAGCTATAGCAAAACTTGATAGAACGGCAGGTGACTTAGCTAATTCATTTGATGCTTCGAGTGATGCGACGGAAGCCTCTGTGTGAGAAACATAATGATTAGAAGGAGAACTAGAAAAATCCTGATCTGTCGATTTAGTGCGAGGAGGGTTTGTTCCATTCAGGTTTATTTGCATTTTATCATGTTCACTGTTACTTTCCACAATAAACAAATTTGATTTCTTCTCGGAAACGGCCACAACTTGTTTACGATATTCTCTTCCTTTTTGACGTAAGCGTTCTAACTCAATTTCCTTCTCTATATGAGCTAAACGTATTTTTGCTAATTCTAACTCTAACAAAGGATCTATTCGGTAGCTATTTCTTCTAAACTGGTCTTCACTGTGAGTTTCCGAGCGGTAGGGAGACAATTTAGGAATCTGATCAGTTTTAAGAATCTCCGTGGACATTTGAAAGCAATTAGTATATGAACTTCTGATGAAATACTGTCCGAAACTATGTAGGATTTAATTTTGTCCTACAGATGTAATTCTAAAAACGTAAACGCAAATACTGCCGATGACAGAGTCCAGAGTGAAACTATAGTTAACAGAAGACAATTCGGTATTAAACTTTATCTGTTTCTAAACAAAAAGAAAACGATTAATTTAGTACAATAAATAAGGAAATTACAATTACCAAGCAGAATGAGCAAACGTACCGGACAGTATAGCGTGTCTTTAGAAAATGAATAAAAAACATGAGTCACAGCAATATAAATAAAATGATAACATCCTTCAATCGATGGACCATTCACAACAAAGAAAGTTTATACATCAGTCAGACTAGATGACGTGGTGAGCGCTTAACCAATCTGATTGGTTAGTTATGACATAACTACAATTAGTCATAAAATAACTAACAGTACCTACGTACGAAGTTCTACGTTGAATCTGACTGACTGACTGACAGGATGATATATGCAATATTTGAAACATGCGTAATAAAGTACAGCTTTTTATAACATATTATAAGGAACTCGTATCATTTGAAATAAAATCGACATTCATTAAATTTCTACCAAACTGCTGAACAACGAACTCTTACAATTTGGAGAGCAAAAGTATACAACATTATGTCCTGTTAACAATGAAACAGTCAAGTGCGTTAGTTGATAATTATCTTTCAGAAAAAAAACTTTAGAATAAAATGTATCGAGTGTTAAAGCTATTGAGTTCAGTTGAACAAATCACTCACACATAACATCGATGATATATAGGCGACTTTCAAATGTCACTGCCCGAAACACAGACGACTTTTCATTCACTATAAGACGATAACGGATGCACTTTGAGAGAACAAACGTTTTGAGATAGTAGAGAAAATCTGTAGCTCAGGTGGATAATTGTGGTGGTATTTCGTTTTTCTGAGCTGCATATTTTGGTTGAGCAGAAATTATTGTTCTTCTGAACATCATTATCACCACAAAATTCAGATAGAAGTGAAGTATTAGAATTTCGCCACATTTGACCCGTTGCACAAAGAATGGCTATCCATGCAACTTTATCAAAAAATATCAACTGAAATCGTCAACAGAAGCAAAATCAAGTACAGGAACCAATAAACGGATCATCCTACCATGCATAAAAGACATATCAGAGCAGATAGCACGAATATTGAAACCATTTGGAATAGGTGTGGCACACAAACCAACAGAATCACTTCAATCAATCCTATGTAGACCAAAGGACAAAATGACAAAGGAAGAAAAACCAAATATCATCTACAAAGTAAATCACTCGGATTGGGAAAAACACTACATCGAATAAAGTGGACGGTCTCTTCAGCTTCGTTTACGTGAATACAAATCAGCAGTCAAATGCCTCGACAATTCTTCGCTTATCTCAATACATACGGAAAACTCTGGACAAACATTCGATAGAAACAATTTTGAAACATTGGTTAGAGGGAGTAGAAAGAACACTAGAGAATTTTTCGAAACTTGACACTCAAGTCATACAGCAATCAACAAACACATAAACATTGACCCAACCTATCAACCAATTAGAAAAACCATAGGCAAACATAGGATCAAGAAAGAAATCAACGGGGGATACAATCAAATCAAAGGTGCAAACAACGACAGGTTTAGAGTCAATAGAAACCAATCAAGACTGAAGTTAACAGAACAGTCTGCGGGTCCCACATGGCGAAATTCGAATACTCCACTCCTACGGTGAATTTTGTGCTGATGAATTTATTCAGCAGAAAAACAATGAAAGCTCCACAACCGAGACAACATCCATATCAGAGAACGAAACTCCACTAGAAAGAACAAACGTTTGTCTTCGAGGTTTGCATCGTAACCATCTGAAGATTTTAAAACAGTTTCTGAACTACTGTGGAAAAACAATTCACAAGACCAATAACCAAATGTCTTTTCAGAGTTGATTGGAAACTGTGAATGAAAATGGCTTGATATTTTCATTCTACTTAATATGTCTGTTCTAGAGTCAGAAAGAGGAAACAGATGTAGGATATTATAACTACTTAGGGAGGCATGTGGATTCGATTACTGGGCTTTGAGATATTTTTATTCTAAACTGATGAAGCCTAATAACTGTGTTGTAATTGTAACAAGCAGTCAGTTATGAACATTTCGATAGTCAATAAATAACAACTGCTAATACAACTGTTTGTATTTTACATTTTAATTAAGACCCTCCGTCTTGTGTGCAGACGCTCAACCTCTGAATCAGTGGGGCGGCATCCATTTAAACAGTTACATCACTGAACCTCACCAAAACATTGCTATCCAAAAGACAATATGATGTCAGAGTAATCTTTATAGTGGAACATTTATTGCATATTAGTCACCAAATCAAAATAAATTCAGTTTCAGTGATTATCTTCAAAAAACTCTTTCAAAAACTGGTGGTTATTTACAAACAATCGATAACCCTAGAGTTTATGGATATAAAAAGTTTATACCGCCTTTTGTTTTATTTAACATAAACTTTCAGTGTTAGTTTAACGCACGATTGATTAATAAAACTCTATAGATCTAGATTTATGCTTATTGTCAATTAGAACAACACCGATATAAAAGCGAACAATAGTGTTGTTTTCGATTAGATTGTCATCAGGCTTTACTCTACTAATATACATGAATATTTATGATGAAAATGTTAAACCAATCAAGGCAATTTATGAGTCAATAATCATAATGAAATGAAATAAATTACGTCAAGTACACATTTATTAGGCAAAAAGACAAGTTGATCATAGTAGGAAGACAGTAGGTGTACTGAGAGTAGTAGTAAGAAAAATATAAAATAGTAGGTCAAACGTGGATAAATAAACTTAAAATAATCATTACAAAACATTAAAAACCATTACGTAATAAGAAGTGTTTACATTTTCATCATAAATATTCATGTATATTAGTAGAATAAAGCCTGATGACGATCTCTAATCGAAAGCAACACTATTGTTCACTTTTATATGTATTATTCTAATTTTCACAATGTGAATGTTTAATATTGTCAATTATTATTCTAAAAGGTATATCTGTAATCCTAAAAAAGGAAAATTGTAACTTACTACAGGATTTTGACTTGTACTATCTAATCTAATAGTACTACTGTTTATATTTGGACTTGATTTTTGACTTACTTTCAATGGAATAATCAATCTCATGTCAGCTTTCATAATTAAACATATATTGTCATCCGATTTAAGATAGAATATTTTTGGTATTTTTCCAGCATTCTCTGGTGTATCGAATGGATTAGGCGTAGTATCAGGTTTTTGTTGATTACTAGGATTATACCCAAATGATTGAACATTGATAATTTTGTTGACTAGAAGATAATAATAATAATTGAGTTCATTAATAATTACAAACAGCTTACATAGAATTACAATTAAACAAAATAAATGCACATGATAATTATAAGAATTATTGTGTTTCATAAAATGATAATTTAACAATCAGTTTTTGATGACAATTGATTTTCATTTTAATCTTATTATTAGAAAATGAAATAGGATTTGTTAAATAAAGTTGTTGAAAATTTAATATATTTTTGATATTTGATTGGTTAAAAATGAAGTGACTTTAGTCATAGGTATGATTTTAATTATAGTACAGTGATTAGAAAATACAAATTGATACTATATAGATTTTTAAAGCAATATGATATAAACATTGTGTGAAAGAAGTGTGTGATATAATTTTACTTGGTGAAATTTAAAATTCTGAATGTTTAGATTATTCATTAGATGATTTTATGAACATATGTAGAGGATAAGCGTTCGCTCGCGAGACCGAGCGTGGGTTGTGAATGCACACTGTTGATGAGCTCCATAATAGGACAAAACGGCCATCGTGGTTGCAGGTTTCTAGCATTGATCGACTCATGATTTTAATGAAACTAAACAATCTCCACAAACCTATAATGAAGAACATGTAGACAGTTGAGTAGTTCATTTTATCCCTAAGTGACAATAATACGTAAGTTAGTGTAACTGAATTCAGTTAACAGTTACTTGAGATCACCGATGACAACGCAAACAGTCGCTTGCTAGTTCAGTATGCACTACGGATGACATTCTAGCGTTTTATAGGATACGTATTGTTTTCCAACTCAAAGATGAGGTCGTAAATTAAGTAACATTGCCGGGCAAATTATAAAAGGTCAGTCGGCGTCCCAAATCACAACAACAGCTTGTAACTGGAGACATTGTATTCCACCTAAGTTAGATGAAACTTCTCAATTTAAAATCTTGTCAAGTGATCTCTGATTAGGTGAAACAATGGTAAGTTGATTTGTAAGGACAGTTTAATAGAATACATATCGAAAGTATATTATTAGTACATCCACAGTTTTCATTCTGTTGATCATGATAATTACGTAGTTTTTACTTCCGTTGATATGTGAATAAGTTTTCTTCAGTCGAATAAAACACTAATAAAAATCCTGTTTATCACACAGTCTGAATGCATGAGTAAAGCATATTTTTTCAATAAGACTTTTTGGATGGCAAACGTAAAAGTTAAATTATGAATGGGGAAACACTAAACGGAATGCTCAGTTGTATAAATCTTCATGGTAGCAGAAAACTAGTTCTCATAACTTTTGTTCCACTGCAAATTATATGCTATGATGCCTTGTGATGACACAGTTTTGTGGAAACTGCAGTCAGTCAGCAGCAACGTAGAACTTCGTACGTAAGAACATTAGTTCAAGTTGCCATACCTCATTAGCACAGAGACACAACTGTCAATTCAAATCCCAAAGTGGTAGATGCAGCAGAAGTATTAGCGGTACTAAGAAAGATTAATGATCGATTATATCATTCGAGAAGTATAATCCAGTGAGATAAATTTAAAAGAAGTTAAATGGTCATGATGAATTCAGAAGATTAGAATTTGAGAGAACACAAAGAACGCATTCACCTGTGCCATTCCAATCGATTTTGAGTCATGTCATTCAGTCGCTAACCACCGATTATTATCGTCTCGCGGACCTCATCCATCTCAGTTCAGCTGCTGTAACTTCATGGATTTACGAAATGTTTTGATTGGCCACCCTTAGCTTTCTTCTAGCTTACTCCTACACCACAAAAGATTGGTCGTCGAAGCAGTTGGAGGTTGGGCAAACGTAACACATATCTCAACTACTTCTCTCCCTATCATGAGTTCGGTAGCCAACGCAAGCCAATCCTGAAGCAACATTTTACATTTCGGGGGGGGGGGAGAATCTTTTAACGAACATGAATACATTATTGCCTAGAATGGTCAGAAGACTCTTCATTTTGTCACTATCTTCACCAAACAGAAATATGTCGTTAGTGTATCCAAAGTCAACAGGAGAGTCTCCTGACAGGTCAACGCCTGAAAAGTTAGATGATGGAAGTGGCATTACTAAAAGCATGTCACTGACGAAGTTGAATAAGAGTGGAAAAAGAGGACAACCATAACGAAAACTATTTGAAGTTATCAATTCTGATAATAGTTAGCCATAGGATCTCACTCGACCAGTTGCGTTTCAGCAGAGAGGCTGTATAAGGTTGATGTACGTCTTTGGTACACCTTCCAGTGACAGACACTGAACCTCACGATCGAGAGTCAAATGCCGCTTTAAGCATCAGGAAGACAACTATAGTGGGGCGTTGAAATGTGTCTATGTTCCAGGGCCTAGCGAAGAGATATCAGATGTCGCCTTAAGGTCCAGCAATAGAAATATGGTTGGACGAATGCTTCTGTCTACGTTCCAGGACCTGACGAAATGCGGTCTATGCCGCCACGTCCAGGTCTGGAACCAGCCTGATTTTTTCGAGTCTGCTCTTCAAGAGCCCTAGTCAAACGTTGAAGTATCATGGAAGCTAATATCTTAGTTAAACTGGTTGGTCGGTGAGTGTCACAAGAGGACTTTTGTCTATCTTATGGAAAGGAACAATCAGTGGTTGGGACCATGTAGATGAGACTACGTCCAGTTCTCAAATTCTAGCTAAGACATCAGTTAATTTCATTGCTAAAACTGGACCACCATCCTTAGAAATCTCAGTGTTAATCCACCAAGACCCGCTGCCGTCTCGCGCTTCAGATTTCCTATGGTCTTTTCAAATTCATTGAGAGTTGGAGGTCGACTGACCGGAGATCGTTGGTAACCATAGTGTGGTTGAAGGAAGGTTGAGCTAAATCCTAGTGTTCTGCCCATCGATCTATACTCCTGGATTGGGAATAATATTCCTATCTTCTTACGAAATAGTCTCACTTCTAATACGTTTCTTTGATAAGTCAGAACAGATGTCTACTGTTACCTGTCACCGCTTTTGCTACCCACCACTGTTCGCGATCATAGTTTAAGGTGGTTATCAGCCTGCGCATGAGCTGACTATCCTCATCATCATGCTCACAGCCAGACAGGATTAGCTTTCTAGCGTTGATCAGTTCAGTAGATGCTACTGAAGTCCACTGTTTCTCCCTAACCTTATGGTTTACCCTACTAGCAGACCTCTTTGCTTTTCCCACAGCTTTCTGGACATCATTCCAAGCAGCCTTAAGTTAGGTATCATTACACTTTTGATACATCTAGACACCCAATACCATTTTAGTTTACCGTGCTTTCATTCAAACTTGTCTATGTACTTACTCTAATAATCGCAGACATCATTAACTTTTTAAACGCATTTATTAAGTATAGATTAGTGTAGACTGCGATAATACGTTTTTCCAAGCTGAAGTGGAGCAGGATTTGAACGGATAACTTAGTGCCTAAAAGTTGAACGACCTAAAGGTCAATCTGGAATAATAATCAAGTTACTACAAGAACGTTGGCTTGTAAGTTAATTTAAAAGTAACCCAGTGACAGATGGGCAATGATAATGACCGAAGTCATGTTAAATATTTTTACTGAATGAAATGACCATCGATTTTCAGAACTCGTTACGTTTGACGGCATACAGTAAACGTGTTTTCAAATATTGTACACCACTGATTACCCGGATAATTAATTACAGGTCAAGTATAGTCGCATATAATAATCATTTCGTTTAACTGAATTGTGAATAATTTACTCAGCGGTTGTATTTAGCTTGCTTCAACTGCTTATGGGATTAAGTGATGGAATTAAGATTAGCAAACCTATCAAGTAAACATTTATTTTCGCTTGAAATCAATCTGTAGACAAAATCTGATTTTTCTGCATACAAAGGTTCAGTTAATTGATGTGTACTCCTATGGCTTCTGTTACATACAAAAATCGGATTTTTATACATAATAATAATAAATTTAAAAGTTTCATTTATGTGGTAACCGGTATCCACTAAATCCGACTAGAGATAGAGCTTTTTATTACTCCCACTTGGTCAACCTTGAAGGTTGATATTCTGAAAAAGGAAGATACATTAGTATGTTTGTGCATTAACATCACCCTCGAATTGGTACTTATTTTTTATTCATTTGTAAGATATATATCAGTCACTTACAACGTAGAACTTCGTACATAAGTTCAGGTTGCCATACCACATTAGCAGAGATGAAACTGTCACTTCAAATCTCATAGTGGTAGAGGTAGTAGAAGTATTAGCAGTAATGGAGAATAGGGTTTCAAGATATTATTATTCAAAAAGTATAATTCAGTCGAATAACTTTAGAATGAGAAAGGTAGAGGTGATGAGCAATTCAGAAGATTAGAATTCGAGAAAACACAGAGTGGATTTACCTGCGCCATTGCAAACGATTTTGAGCCATGTCGTTCGTCCCTACCGTCGGTGACTTTCGTCTCGCGGACCCCAACGAAGTAGCCTATATATATCAGTCCACTCGTCGTTGACTTTATGGATTTCTGCCATGTTTTGGTTTGGCCGCCCCTAGCTTTCATACCCGTAACAGGACACGAGACCAAATTGGTCACAATCAAATACATATCAGTGCAGAGTTATGATAAAGAACTAATTGAAAATAAGTATTTTTTTCGTTCATCCTATCTTTTTTTAAAAATCAAATTTCTCTATTATTATGCAAAGTAACTTATACAAGGTAGAAGACTGTAGCGCCCATGTTTAATATGTAGTTTGAACAACTGACATGATTATATGGGTTATTCTAGCATTTAAACAGACCATTGATTTAATTTGCTCAAGTTACTAACAGCATACATTTTGACCTTGTCCACTAGTCACTTATAATGTTGTAAGTTATTATTTGGCCGAACTATATTCATCACATCTAAAGCCTAATATTTGTTTGGCCATAAATAATGAGTCATACTTGATCAAATAGAGTTAGCATGTATACACCATCTTCATTTCACATTCCTGATTTTCATGTCTATCTGAGTAAAGCACAGTGCCTGAAATAAATACTATTTGTATTTGACTTCTCATAAATGTCATTGCTCAAAATGTAGTTAGCCTAGGTACATAAAAAAAAAAACAGAAGATTCATTCATGTTCATGACACATTCCATTGTTCATCTCCAAATTGAAAAGTAAGATCACGCGTCATAAAAGATAAGTAGACTTGTGACAAAATAAAACATATCATGAAGAAAAACATAAACAAGTAACAGACACATTTAGGTTACAAAAAAAAATTAGATTTACACAAATAAAACTACAATTACACGATTAGTTACTACGGCATACATTTTTTACAACAAAATTACAAACAACTAGACAGTTGTAAGTAAATTTTTTTTCTTTTTGATAAAATAAAAACAAGTTGCACATATTTATAAAGGGCCTAGATTGTATCACAAGGAAAAAATATACATTAGATTATACAAAAATTAACAATTTTCTTAAAGATCAAAACAAGAAATATTCGAATATTCAATTCTAGAAGTAAAATAGCAAGCCAAAACAGGTGAGCCGATCCAAGATTGAGAAGTTGAACCTAAAAAATATAAGAGTAAAATTTGTAATTAAAAAAAAGGCACTAAAGAAATTGATCGTCAAATAGCCATCTTTTTTATTTTTGTTACGCCTGCACCCAAACACGTCAACTTGGATTAATACTTGAACAATTACGAGTTTACCTAGTCGGAAACGCGAGAGTGAGGATCCGGCGACACGATAGGCTACTCAAATCCGACTATCCCAACCCCCATATTTAGTAAAAAATAAGAAGACTTGATATGAAGTAGAACCTGTATTCTACAAGTATCCATAAGTATGACGGCCGAATCCAGAAGAGAATCAGGATCCCGGACTAGGGATCCGCGACCGAGCCCTGGTCCTGGTCATAAAACGTTACAGATAATGCGTATTTATACAATTTGGTCGAATAGGAAACAGCATCGAAGTGTGTGACATTGACAGTTAAGACGACCAATAGAAACAACATTGGAGCATGACATTGATATCTAGGACGACCATAAAATTGACCAGATAGAATGAACCAATAGGAATTGACCAATAATTCTCTTAGGATATTGGATGAATAATCCTAACAATTTTGTTATTGAGTTGCGTAGTAGCAATAATGTATTTAAAATGTGATCGGTTGTACAATGAGTCGCAAACTTTAATATGATAATTAAATTAATAACTATCGAACATAACAAACGAGAGCAGTGTTGAAAAATGGTTGAATAAAATAACACCCTCATAAATTCAAATCACATTTTTTGGTATCTGTCACTAATCCGTTGGTTGTGTGTACCATGAACAGTCTCCGCATCGAAAATACTGATAACTTAAAACTGTTACTAGTTGTTCAAATGTAATCATTTGTCATCAGCGTAAATACATTCAATAGATCTTCAAAACAATCATTACAATGTAGTAGTTTCCCATATCTATTAGTTGTGTCATTTTAAAACGTATACTTAGCCGATGAAAGTGTGAAACAAATAATGTACAACCTGTACACTGTTTCATGGTGAAGATAAAGTGATTCACAAATTTTATTAAACACATAATTTAATGACATGTATTGACAAAAAATAATTCCCGACATTGAACACTATTTGTAAGATTCATTTTCTGGAGGCTATGTTTGTGAAAATCCCTTCATGCATGCATTTGTAATCTGTTCTTATTGATTCCTTCACTTGTACTTAGTCATGGAGACAGCCATATTGATTTATTCCTCTTTTGATTGTGTCGCTTGCATTGACTGGAATTGTGCATTTTGATTGTGAATTGAAGAACTCTTGCAGAATAGGAAACAGTGTTATAAAGCAACCAAATATTATTTGTCGAACAAATCTGATCTATCCAGGAGGGATAGAATATATCAGTTTCTGTTGCTGTCGATTTGAACAATTGTTGGTGGAATAACTAAGTGGTAATATTTGCTTAGGCAATGATGTAAATTAATATTTATGATGAATATTAGAACTGTTATTTACCACAATCACTTGTTTTGATTTCAACTGGTCAAGACGCGTATCTAAACTACCTAGGCAGTTTTATCTCTCAATCCAAATCTCAGTTTGAATCCTACACTATTGTAGTATGGAATTTCTTTCTATCTACCGGCATTGAATAATACATAATTAAATACATTTTTCTAGTTTTTAAGTTCAAAGGCAATCCACTACCAATACACAACCCACATCCCGACCGAAGCTGCTCGCTTGACGTGGTGGTCAGGCATGCCTATCGTGATGACCGGACCGATATACACTGGCTGGAACATATGTTCCTGAAGGTTCTACCATAACAGGCAGGTCGATTGGAGAACGACCAGACTAAAAGCAGCTACCCAAGGTCTGAGGGCGAAGTCTTACTGCTGACATGGCTCAAAATCGTTTACAATGGCGCAAGTGCATCCATTCGTTGTGCTCTCTGAAATCCTAATCTTTTGGATTCGTCAGGACCTCTACCTTTGTCTTTCTAACCTTATCTCACTGAATTATACTTCCGGAATCATATCTTCAAACCCCAGGCTTCTTCATTACCATTAATACCTCTATTATCTTTATCACTATGGGATTTGATTTGACATTTGCGTCTCTATGCTCATGTGGTATGGCAACATGAACTTATGTACATACGTGTTCGAAGTTCTTACGTTGCAACTGACTGACTGACTGACACAACCCACATTTATTGATTTTTTTTTGAGAAACTATAGTTGCTAACATATTCACAACTAAAATATCAATTAAATAGAGCAATATTCTTTTATAATTGAGAAAAAAAGTAGTAATAGACAAGAAAACAATGAATAACAAACAACAACACATACCTAATCATTCAATGTATTACGTAGTTTAGGAATGAATTGAAAATTAAATCGCTCACTAACATTCCATTTCGGTTTGAAAATAATAGTTTGCGCATTAATATTGTGATAAAAATTAGGTTTCAAATCAGATGTTAAGCGTATCACATGTTCTCGTCTAGAAAAATACGAATACAACGTATGACTACTGTTTAGGATTTAATCAATTTATTGATTAGATGATGATTACAAATTATGATGAGTTAATGTGAGGAAAAATCAATTCACAGGCAGTCAGTCAGTTGCAACGTTCAACTTGGTACATTCAAGTTGTCATATCTCACTAACAAAACGAGATTAAATTCTCAGGCCGAATTCAAGGATAGCAGAAATGGTAACAGTATCAGTGGTACTAAATTCTTTTGCATTTGTTGTCATTATTCTCTCTATACTTCTCTCATTTCATTTGTTTTAATTTATACTACTTATTTATATTCAGTAACGTGTCATAACCAACAATTTCAATGTGTGTAATGTAACGCCGATGATATTGTGCGATTTACTAAAATATTCACATACATTATTTATACTCATTGCATTTATTATGATTTTTATAATCACCTTCTTTCAACGCATTTAACAGTTATTACGTTTTTTAAACATTGCCTGAATCTTTGTTTGAACACAACAACTTCCATGTTTGTTTGCTCTTAATTACAGTTCAGTTGTCGGTAAATTGTTGTCAACATTGGACACGGCTCTTAGTTGCCATTTACACAATTGTATGTTGTAATTATTCTTGATTTTATTGTTACAGGAAGCCCTTTTATCTATAAATATTCAGACGCGTTAATCGCCTTAGACACCTGACGAAGTTGAGCTGAACTTCAATTTCACGCGTATCTCAATCGTGTTATTAGACGCTTCTATAGACAGACAGACAGACAGACAGATACAACGCAGAACTTCGTACGTAAGTACATCAGTTCAGGTTGCCATGCCCCATCAGCATAGAGACGCCACTTTCAGTTCAAATCCAAGAGTGATAGCAATAATAGAAGTATTAGCAGTAATGGAGAAGATTAGGGGGCGAAGATATGATTCGAGAAGTATAATTCAGTAAGATAAATTTAGAAGTAGAAAGGTAGAGATTATGAGGAATACAGAAGCTTAGGAAGGATTTTATTTTGACCAATTTGGTCTTGTGTGCTGTTACGGGTATGAGGGCGGTTGTCACTTCCCGGCTGCCCACACCGCTTCTATAGATTCAACATGGAGGTTTCTCTTAGCCTGAGTATGTAGTTCACGCCATGGATAAACATAAACTGAAAAACTACTTACATCCATTGAGTACTAGATCACCTACTTAATAGCAATACAATCAAAATAACTGATATATACTTGCTATGGTTAATCGGTCGGAATGCAAAAGATATATATATATATATATATATATATAATGACCGCTTCGGCTAGGTACAAAAGGATAAAAGATTACATTTTAAAACTAATATGCATAAACGTTCAAAAACAATGTGGATCAGTATTTCAATATTATTTGTTAACATACCCAATCATTGAGACAAGTTTTGATCCGGACAAAGTGAATAATGAAGAATCTAAACCAAAGTCATGTTTAGCAATAATATTTTCTGGTTGACCAACAGGAAATACAGATAATTGTAAAGTAGGCAGATAATTATCCGGTGTCTGTACATGAACGGTAATCTACAAGATAGATGAAAAGAAAAAATAATAGAAATTTGAGTGATGGAATAGGAGAGATTTACTGCTAAGCGCTACTTAATGCATAAGATTTTGAACCATCTATAAAGAGCTAAAACGGTTGACATTCTGTTACGCTCGTTTCTGGGTATACTTAAACTATTACGAGTTCACCTTAGTCGAAAAACGAGAACAAAACAATGAACCAGCGGCCAGGCAGGCTACTGTGATCCCTTGACCAAAAGGTATCAGCAAGAAGTCTTGATATAGTGTAGAAATTGTATTCTACAAACACCCAGCCAGCACACAATGAATCCAAGCACTCAAATCGCGTTTATTTATACTCTATAGAAACGTCCTTGAGACAGTCACAAAAATAGCACACTAAAATGACACAGTAACCAATCACAGCCAAGAGTTTTTCTGGTGGGAAATGTGATCTCAAGGTGAACTGTTCGGCCCATGAAATAAATCCAAAATAAAGATATTTATCAAGCGAGTTCTGAGGGATCTAACAACTCCAAATGACAGTCGTACTGTGATATTTTGAACAAAATATGCTCCAACACTGTTACATATAGGTTAACTGGCGGGAAGAGAATAATTACCAGAATTATCTGACAGTAAATACCAGAAAACTTAGAAAAATGCACTGCAGTTCTTGGTACATTTGCATTTGAAAAGTTATTTGACATAACAAGAGAACAATATATTGCAATTATGGTACTTTGTGTACATAATGGATGGAAGAAGTACTTGAAGCAAGTGAACTTGAAGAAAATCTCATTGGTTAAGCGCGTTTGGAATATTCCAACTGTTAAAAACACAAAATACATTTAGAATAATTACTATCCGAATGTCAATGAAACCTTTGTCTTGATATTGTGCAATTGGCGCTGTGGATTCTTAAATTTACCAAAATTCATAGTATAATTGATAGGATTCATACCTTAAGATCGATTTTAGCAAGTTTGTTAGTAATATTAGTCCAGTGAAATAAACAAACTGATATAGTATAATTTCATGCATAAACTCAACACTTTATTTTAAATAAGAAGGCATACCATAGCAGTACACAGGTGACGAATTATATAAAAGTGTAATCCATCTGTGTCCGAGTTTAACATCTGTAAATTCACATGATCAGGAATTGCGTGTTCAACATCACCGCGAGAAGATAATCTATTTGACTCTTTTGTCAGTTGATTCAATACAAGATTTGGTACAAAGTTAGGATTTGTATGTACAGAGATTCGGTATACACAACCTGAATTAAAAAATAATGAACATTATAAAACTAATACTTTATCAATCTCTAAACATGGTAGCATAAAGGGGAAAAAAGAAGTAAGCACAACATTTCGACGAGAATTGCAACACAATAATAATAATAATAATCACCAAAATTAATAGGATGTAATATCTACAAAATCATTTAAGGAATCAATTATAATCGAGAAAACTCTATTGAGCATTTGTCCAAAACTCAAAACTAAATAAAAATTCCCATTAATATGACATAAAACATGAAATAAAAAACACTTTTGTACAATGTTTATAACGTTAAATATTATTGAAAAAGAATTCTTAATGAAACAATTACTAGAAATTGACAGTCATGCTTCTAACGTTAACATTCAACCTGACAGACCAAGCTAATGAAGAAATGCGCGTGTTTTGGATTTCACTGGTAGTTATAATCAATATAATGTATCGAGGCGATTCGCACAGTATGTTCATGTGCCAAAAAGCACGCTGACAAGATTATAGTTCGGAATACGGAAAACGTTTACTCCTAGGCTATTGCATGTTGTTTTGAGATATCCGTTTGCTGACTAAAGGACGAGTGTACTGTGCAGCAGTTCGCTCCTTTCTTACTTTATGGCTGTGAAACATGGCCAGTCAGAGTAGAAGAACATAGGTGTCTTCGAAGCATTGCTCGTATATCCTGGGACACCCGAGTGAGCAACGCTGTTATTAGAAAACGGGTGCTAGGTATGAATGACAGATCAATAGATGAAGTGCTCAAACTTCATCAGTTGAGGTGGTTGGGACATGTGTTACGTATGCCTAACCACCGACTGCCGCGAGGAGCTATGTTTTGTGGTGTAGGAGTAGGTTAGAAGAAAGTTAGGGGCGGCCAAACCAAAACATGGTACAAGTCCATGAAGTTACTGACAAGTGGTCTGAGCCATGTCCGTAGGCGTCGACTACCTGGTTGGGGTCCGCGAGATGATAATAATCGATGGTTAGATACCCTGAATGACATGGCTCAAAACCGTTTGCAATGGCGCCGGTGCATTTATTCTTTGTGTTCTCTCAAATCCTAATCTTCTGAATTCTTCAACAACTCTAGTTTCGTCTTTCTAACCTTATCTCACTGAATCATACTTCTTGAATAATATCTTCTAATCCTAACCTCTCCGATTACTTCTCATACCTTTACTACCTCTACTACTATTGGATTTGAATTGACAATTATATCTCTGTGCTGATGTGGTATGGCGACATGAACTGATGTACTTACGTACGAAGTTCTACGTTGCATCTGACTGACTGATTTCATGTTGTTTGAACTACTTAAAAAACATGAGATGAAATAAACGTTTCTGTACTAAGGAATCGACAATTTCTTCGAAACCAAAAATAATCCGCTTTTTATGTAAACACCATAACTGGCAGTAAGAACAATGAAGAATATTACAAAGAAATATTTTATCTCAGTTAGTTTTTCATCATGCTCCTACATTCATGTAAATTATTTTCAACAATAAAATCAATACTAATCAATTAGAATAATAGTGTTACAAATAAATACCAATAATACAAATTTAAACACAATCACCATATATAATGACTAAAACGGGATAATAAAAATATGACAATGAATAGAGTAATAATTATGTTAGATGTATGCATTTATACGATCTAAGGATTACGTTATCTCGTAAGTGTAAATCGGTATTTACTCCGTAATCCAACCTACACTAAGTCAAAATAATAATCACTTTCGATTTGATAAATATCAAAAGATACATTCATTTCTTCCTTTAACTGATGGAATTCCAGTGTTGAATTCAGGTTATGAGAGAGTTTTGAATTTAGAGCTTAGTTTATGAACACTTATTCCGATGGTTACATCAAAACGTGTTCACTGGGTACGCTGAGTTTGCATGTTTTAGGATAATACACGTCGGTAAATAGATGAATAACCTGAACTAACCTGGCATAAGACCTCTTATACGAAAAATACCATTTGAATCAGTTACAGATTGTTCCCGTGGAATAATATTGATTTGATCATGTCGAAGTTGACAAGTCATGTTATGATTTGATTTGAAATTCAACAAGTCATTATGTACTGTATTTTGTGTTCCCGGCAACCAGGAAGCTTCAACTAGAACACCAGATTCTGGGATACCAGCTAGTGAAGTAACCTATGGGTAGAAAAATCAAGGTCCACAAAATGGGTATATGGACAATGTATAAATAGTAAAAAAACGCACAAATTACAGAACACTTCATGAAACAAACAACTTATATGTAAATCAATAAGTAAACTATAAATTGTATGATACTTTAAAGCAATTTTGGCTAGATATTTTGTCTTATATAAAATAAAGCATATTTTTTACAAATTTAACGAAGTGAGCATGACCTATACGGTTTGCGGTTTAAAGAATGGATCAGTTAGTCAAACTTATCATTTTCCAGTTGTCCTTCATCTGAATATATTTAATGATATGGTTTCTTCATGGCTATCATGTATTAACTTGAGCAATTACAGATCTGAAGTTTTAGGCAATGAAGTCAGTGGACAAGTAATACAGAAAACGCTAACTTTTCTAATTTTCAGCTACACTGTACCAGCATTAAGAAATGAAATACATAGTTTACCCTCAATGTTTTTAAATTTACACAAATAAAAAAAAAGTGATTCACTTACAACCCCTGAGACAGAGAAGGCAATTCGGAGTGCAGATAATGTGATGATAGACGATTTCCCTTCTACAACTTGTACAGGAATAGCTTGTCCGGATTCAGACTGGTCAGGTGATTGCACTGTAAATGAGTACTCTTTCATCATTGGACGTACATAATACTGTCCTAAAACAAGAAAAAAAAACTGTGAAAATCGATAAAACGAAATTTTTTTAGATAATAAAAAAAGTATTCTCCATTATGAGATACAATACTGATCCTACAACGAAACTAGATAACTAGTAAACTAAACGGAAAAGATTCACAATAAAATTAAACAGGTTTAGAAGAAATGTTATTTAGGTTCCAAGTTGACAATCAAGTTAGGCGTAAAATACGAAGAAAATGAACGAAATATAATCTACAGATACAGTCAGTTTACTACAACGCAGAACTTCGTACATGCGTACATCATTTCAAATTATGATACCATATTAGCAGAGAGAGAAGGGATTGTCAGTTCAAATCTAGTAGTAGAAGAGGAGTTTTAGTGGTAATCGAAAATATCTGGGGTGAAGATATTACTCGAAAAGTATTACCCAGTGAAATAAATTTTAAAAGAAAAAGGAACGGTCATAAGGAATTCAGAAGATTAGATTTTGAGAGAACACAAAGAATGAATGCATCTACGCTATTGTAAACGATGTTGAGACATACCATTCAAAATCTCTGCCGGTCACAATTGAAACACAAACCCTAACCAAGTAGTCTATATCGATTGTTAGTGACTTTATTGGTTTGTGTCATGTTTTTGTTCGGTCAGCCGTAGCTTTCTTCCAGCTTAACCCAACATCTCAAAACAATGCTCCTCGAGGTATTCAGCGGTTAGGCATATGTAACGCATGTTCCAACCACGTCAACTAATAAAGGTTCACTATTTCATCGACTGATTCGTATCCTTTCCTAGTACCCTATTCCTAAACCAGACGTTGCTCATTCGATGGTTCCAGTGCATATGAGCGATTCTTCGAAGATATCTATGATCAAATACTAGTAACGTAAGAATATCCTCTATTCTTACTGGCCACGTTATACACCTGTAAAATAGGATGGGGCAAACTGTTGCTGGTAGAAGGAGAATTACTGGAAAGTCAAACGACGAAACTGATAATTCTTAAAAAACGTAGCGATAACCAAGTTAAGTAAGAATATAGGAGATGGACAACCCTAACTAACACCCATTGTGGTAATCAATTCAGATGACATCTCGCCATAAGCTCGGACTCAACTAGTTGTGTTCGAGTAAAGAGTCTGAGCAATTTAATGTTCTTTACTGGTACTCTTTTCAGTGACCGACACTGCCACAGAACTTCACGTTCAAAAAAAATCGAACACCATTACGGACATTAAAGGCTCCAACATGTAGTTTACAGTGGGGTCTCAGGAAACCAGGAATCACATTTCGTGTACTCAAATCATCAGCGGCGCTTACAGTAATACTGTTGGAGTTTCAAATCAGTATGCCATCAAACTAAAAGCAATCATATCACATGTATAACAACTTTATGATTACTTATAAGCAGTAAATAAATGAGAAAGGGCACATGAAAATACCATTAGAAAGTATTTACACATTCAACTAGTGAAAAAACTGACAACCGTTTATTTTATTACAGAACTAAAATACAGATGAGTAAAAATAATACCCAAATGAACGATAAATATATCATCATCAAATATCCATCTACATTTATGTTAGATGAACATACCTGGAGATAAACCGATAAAGCGTACAACACCATCATCGTTTGTTAAATGATTTGCACGATGTCCTTCACCAATGATAGATATTAAAACAGCTGAAATAAATGAGAAGTGTATAGGAATGCTACAATGATATCTTGACCATTATCTATGATGAACACATCGAAACAACCATATTAACGAATAGTATCAATAAATTATGAGCGTTTTGAAATAGGATGAAAATATATGGTACGGTACTTTTCCAGACCGGTAAAAAATTACTAGAGGCTTTTTTAACTTAATTAATCATCGATAATCGACCAAGTATGATTCGCAGCATCATCGACAACCAAGGTGGATCCGATGCAGATGTGAGGACGCGGATTGGCAAAGCAAGGGCTGCATTTCTACAGTTGAAAAATATCTGGAACTCCAAACGACTTTCAATCAAAACCAAAATCAGGATTTTCAATAATACAAATGTCAAGACAGTTCTACTGTATGGAGCGGAAACTTGAAGAACTACCAAAGCCGTCATCCACAAGATACAAGTATTTATAAACAGCTGTCTACGCAAAATACTTCGGATTTGTTGGCCAGACACCATCAGCAACAACGTACTGTGGGAGAGAACAAACCAGATTCCAGTGGAGGAGGAAATCAAGAAGAAGTGGATAGGACACACACTACGAAAAGCACCCAACTGCGTCACGAGACAAGCCCTCACACGGAACCCTCAAGGCAAAAGGAAAAGAGGAAGGCCAAAGAATACATTACGCCAAGAAACAGAGAAAGATATGAGAGGAATGAACAAACATTGGACAGAACTGGAAAGGGAAGCCCAGGACAGAGTTGGTTGGAGAAAACTGGTGAGCGGCCTATGCTCCATTGGGGGTAACAGGCGTAAGTAAGTAAGTATGATTCGCAATAACATAATAAAGGTTCAATATGATATTCTGCTATGAATACACTCAAAAATGATCGAGTTCAATTAAATTTTTGAAGTTTAACTTCAATCGAAACTCTTACATAGAACTGTAGCAGTAAATGACACCTATTGTCAGTCAGTCAATAAGAACACAGACCTTCGTACGTACGTACGTACATACATCCGTTCCAGTTGCCATACTACATTAGCATAGAGATGCAATTGATCTGATTTGATACACAAGAAAGTGAAATTTTTTTAACGTCATTGTTTATACACCGAGATTTACCTGACAATGGTTGACGTGAATCCTTTGAAATAGGATATTTATAGACAAATACTTCAACAAGCGACAGTTTAGTTGATTTTACATACCAATCGAAATTTCTCACTTGTTGTTGTTGATGTTGCTGTTGTTTAATATCTGTTTTATTAATCATTTCAAATTTATAACCAGCTTTAGATAAGGATATGTCATACATTTTAGAAATATCTGATATCGATTTAATATTGAATGCTTCATGATCATCTAATGATAGACTATTGAAAAAGAATAAACCTTGACTATCCGATTGAGTGATTACAATTGGTTTAGATGAATTTCTCTCTTCTTCAGTTTTATTTAATGACTGAGATTCATTATTTACAGGTAGAAGCAGATGATCGAATTGATTAGACATGGAAACAGTTTCTGAATGGTGCGGTAGTTTCTTGAACAATTCAATAACAACCTAAACATAGAAAATTATAGAAAGAAGGGGAAGATTACAAATGTATTCAGAGTGAAACATAAATCCGCTAATAAGTTTTTTCGCCGATAAGAAACCATATATTAAGTATTCTAGTATAAAGGATTTCATTAATAAATCAAAGTCGGTCACACATAAACAATCAGAAGTCAATATTTAATGATTGGTTCATTTACTGCATTCGGCACTTAAGTAATTCACTTTATTTTATTACTATAGTAATCGTTTTTTTTGATGCAATAAACAGATCCTTACGAACGCTTGCAGATGTTTATAAGGAAACCATATACAAACACTGATTGATAAGCTAGCAGACAGACAGATACAACGCACAACTTCGTACATAAGTACATCAGTTCAGATTGCCATGCCCCATCAGCACAGAGACGCAACTGTCAATTCAAATCCAACAGTGATAGCAATAATAGAAGTATTAACAGTAATGGAGAAGATTAGGGAGCGAAGATATGATTAGAGAAGTATAATTCAGTAAGATAAATTCAGAAGAAGAAAGATGGAGATTATGAGGAATTCAGAAGCTTAGAATTTCATAGAACACAAAGAGTGGATGCACCTACGCCATTGCAAACGATTCTGAGCCATGTCTTTCAAGGTCTCCACGACTAACTCTTCTCACATTCCTTTATCCCACTGCACAGCTACTGCAAACAATGCGATAAGCTAGCAGACAGTGGCACAGTGATTGGTCAGAGATAATTTTATGGTTGAAAAAAGTTTGCTCTAAGTTAACTTATGCTTGAAAGGAAAGAATGATTTTTCAAAAAAAAAGAATAAGACAAGGGACTACCTCTTTATTAAAAATAATCAACATTTTCTTACCTTCTCAGTAGGTGGATCGATAAGACCTCTTAGATTAGCAGCAATTGTCAGAGTGAATTCAATATCCTGTCCAACAAAAAGTGATGTGCATAATGATTGTACATCATTTACAGTAGATTTAAGAGGTTCAATCATTGGCATAACTAAACTACATGTATCATCAAATTGTTGTTGGTGTTGTTTGACATTGGATTGTAGATCAATATCTTGACTAGATGGATAGGTTATTAATTGAATCATATGATTTTGTTTGAAATTCAATGGTTTAGGAGTAATACGAATGGTGTTTTTGATATTAGTCCAAAACACTCCTAATGCAGATGATACAGATTCGATGCTTTGAGAATTCTTAAGCCAACTATTAAATGAAAATGATAATAGTTAATGAACACTGAAAGCACTGTTTATGTATAACAAAAAATAAAGTAAGAATATTAAAATCTATGATAAATTAATTAGAAAAAATTAATCATTTGTATTGATTGACATAACACGAAAATACAAGTGTGGTGTGCGCTACTTATAAGTAGTATATGACGCGAGTAAAAACGTAATGTCTGGTAGCAGAAGATGGGGGAAGGTCAAGAAAGGAAGAGTTAGAACACAATGGAATTCGTATGAAACGCATGAATAGTGACAATGGATTGATGTTTTGCAACAGGAACAGTCCAGTTCGATATGATGGATTGATATTTTGCAAATTAACGATTTACGATATGGTTTTCCTATTTTACCAATTAACTCTGTAATTTGAGTTAAATACAATTCGGTTGCCCTCACCTGTGTTCTCCTTCACTACACACGTATGTTTAGTTCGTTAATATGAAAGGCTTATAGCACACGTGGTTAAGGAATATGGCTTATAAAATGAAAACAGTTAAAAGTCATTGGTGAAATGCAACGAGAACTTGTATGACTGGACCCTAGAAAACGACAGTGAAGCACTCTTGTGAGCAGAAATGAAAACCAGGAAAATGTAAAAGACAGTGAAGTAAGATCACTGACAGCTCTTCTCGAGGCATAGCACCTTGTTAACAACTTAGTTTATTGAAGTGATCATTCTTTACGATTACCTGAAAAAGGTACTCAACAATATCGAATCTGTCTAGTCCTTTAATGCTGATTTGGGACTGAATATTGCATGCACTATAAAGTATTCGGCAAGTAAGTTTTAGATCAGAATTTTTAGGGCAACTGGAAAAGCGGCAAGTCAAAGGACAATGTTTTCCTGGAATTGAAGGTGGACATCGCAAGAATGAATAGTAATCGGGAAAAACCATAAAGGAGATCTGGTTGAGGAAGTCTGGTCGCTTGCTTATGCTCCATGAGGAGTAACAGGTATGAGTAAAAATAAAAACAATTAACTCAGTTTACTTACAATGTTTCAACTATTTGTGATTGAGGTGTTACAGATGAGTTAACATCGAAATCATCCACTTGAAATGGGTAAGGAGTGTCAATAAGTTCTTTTAAATCCTCGGAAAACTTCTCAGCCACTTTATCAAGTTTTAAATGAATTATAAAAGGAAGCTTTTCTATGCCGATGCGAATTAGAATGCTAGAATGCAATGTAAGGTGACAATCTCTGGATGGATTGATTTCAGTGGTCTGTATAAGTTTAACTTGTGAACATGTACTAGACAAGCTGATTTTGTAAACTTTCGTAGGTGAAGGAAGACAAATCTAAAAAAAAATAGAAACATTTGTAAAGATCATGTGTAATTAACCATAGGAAAGACAAAATTAATGAGATTTCGATCTGTAATACCGATTTTACGATTCATGTATTAGCTTCTTGTTTTCGACAAAAAGATTAGCAGTCAATAACATGACTACTGAAAATACTTTAAGTAGTACTGATAAATAAAGCCCAATTCGAACAGTCGATAACTGCAAGACGATAGCTCGATGAGCATATTGTTAGTTTCACTAAATGATGGTAGAATATGAACAACTAACGACTGAGGGAAGACCAACTGTTCGGGATATTGTAACGTAAATATAGAGAGAAATAAAATTGGGGCGCAGTATAGTATAACTAAGAAAACATTAACTTACTTTGTTGCATGTTTTAGTCAAATTCCATACCATGGAACTTTTAATTGTCTTATTATTTTCTTTGAAAGAATTCGAGGCATATAAAAGCACGGCAGGCACTCTTGTAACATAATTCGGTAATTCAAAATGTATTGGAATAAGAAAACCAGTTTGATGAAAATCAAGAGCTGATTCATTTTCATAATGTAAATCATCAGAACGTATACGAAATATTCTCTTGGAAGATTCAAGCTGTTGGAATTCCTCACCATCTGGTTTTTTATAGTGATCCCAACACCAACTATCTATTGTGGTAAGTGAAGAACCCGTATAGAAAACAACCTGAATAGCATAATCACCAGGAAGCATATCCTCGGCTTTGAAAAAAGCAACATGCAAGTCAGTCTGTGTTCCAAAAAAAAGACGATAAATAAAATGAATAAAAGTGGGTTCACTAGTGTATAAAATTACTGATTAATTTAATTAAATCTTAAAAAAAGGTTTTAATCTATATTACATTAATTACGGGGAATGAGCGCAGCTGAAACCTTGACTTGGTGATCAGGCTTGCCTATCGTAATGACCCAGTCAACCTATATTGGCTAGAATTTATGTTCTTTTAGATCCTACCATGCCAGGTAGGTTGATTATAGAATGGTAAGACTAAAACCAGCAACTTAAGGTGTGAAGGCGAAGTCGTACCGCTAACTGCAGAGGGGTGTGACAGCAGTAAGGTACTTCTCTCGGACAACCAGTATTCTAATTTAATGAATTCTTAATGACCGTTTCTTTCTCTTCAAGTTTATTTCACTGGGATATACTTCTCGAATGATATCTTCAATCCTTAGTCTAACAATCCCTTTTCTATGTACTAATGTAGTATAGAAATTTGAACTGATATACATACGTACCAAGTTCTCCGTTGTAGCTGACTCACTAACTGAGTGAACGAACCTAAGTTCACAGAAAAATATACGGCTTTTCATGGATTTTCTCGGGGTCTACTCACACTCAGTGCAAAATAGATTTACGTCCTGTAAGCCGTTTTCTTATTAGCACATTCCCTAGGTAGTTGGGTATAAGCCACAATGTAACTGTAAGAGCTAATGATAAGACAAGCTTGCTCAAATTGAAGTAGCAGAGTTCGGACTTGAAACATGACTGAAAGGTGGATGTTTCAACCATTAAGCCACTGTTGTAATCAACCAGCAAATAATCACTCAACAAAAATCAATTTTAAAAGCGATGGTATGTTTAATTGCAGAATGCGTACATGGATAACAATCCAGTGACCAAACGACACATAAAAATGGCCAAAAACAGGCCTATGATGAAAAGAGAACCAAAACATTAAATTAATGAGCTTTGAATTATCACCTAGCGAAGAGTTAAGTAACAGGCCATTACTGATCTTCGACAAGTGAGCAAGGACAGCACAAACACATCTGTATTCAGAAAATAGGTAACTTAAACAAAATGATTCGAGAATCACTTAATCTAAATAGTGTGAATCATAAAGTTAAACAACGGGAAAGATATATTTTATCACAGGTAGAGTAGTGAAAGAAAATACATAAAAGCAGTAAAGAGCACTGGATAAGTGGTTGTTTGCAATAAAGACAATAGTCATCACCTCACCTGATCCATAGAAATGGTTGGAGGCGTTTCAAATCATTTTACTATTATGATTACTATTATAGTGTAATACAAAAACAACGGGATAATTACAAACCGGAAATAGGAGAGGATATTCAATTCCAGATAATACTACATTTAGACAAACGATAGATACACTGACAGATAGAATGAACTGAGATCAATCTCGAACTCTGTCATTGATAAATTACGATCATTTTGCGCGGATTTCAAGCAGCAAATGGCCAAATGAGAAGACTGTTATTTCATGACCCATGATGATATGTATTTATCCTCTAGGACATTTTCTCTAATGGTCATCAGATCTCGCTGCCACAACACATAATAACAATAAAGACTGAGTGCTTTTGATGATAATCATTAGTGATGCATCTTTTACATTTCGATGAATTTGCTTCTATGCTACCTGGATGCTGCATACCGGAATAGGACAGTGGATGATGAGCAGATAATGGTTATATACACTGATACTAATAATCAACAGGCAACTGTAGCAATGGTTATTTCGGTAATTTACATGAGAATTTCTTTATCACTTACTTTACTAGGTACAAATTCATATAATTTTGGTTCAACTGTATTTGAATGCAATGAAGTCAATTGAGCATAAAATGATGTCTTGTGATAGGAGCATGGAAGTAAACAATTAATTCTACCAAATAATTTAGCACGAAACTGAGAAAATGTTACATTAGACACAGGTGATTCAGTTAGATCAACCTACAGCGAGAGAGAGAGAGAGAGAGAGAAAAGAAAATAAAATATTAAAAACCATAACTTTATACCATATTAGCATACTACGATTTAAAAGATGGAAATTAAAGTTTTGCATGTTTATTCGTGTAATAATTAGGGTAAATAAAAAATTATCAACTGCCAAAAGCCGTTGCCCATTAGATGAGAATTCAGTTAATTTGACAGACCAAAATATAAACTGAAAGTTTAATGGGTATGATAATAAATTTAAGTAGATAACTTTGTCTTTTTTTATGAAGTGTAGATTCAGAAGGTTAGAATTTCATAGAACACAAAGAATGAATGCACTTGCGCCATTGCAAACGGTTTTGAGCCATGTCATTCAGGGTATCTAACCATCGATTATTATCATCTCGCGGACCCCAGCCAGGTAGTTGACAACTACTGACATGACTCAGTCCACTTGTTAGTGACTTCATGGATTTCTGCCATGTTTTGGTTTGTCCGCCCCCTGGCTTTGTTCCAACCTATTCCGAAACCACAAAATATAGCTCGACGAGGCAGTCGGTGGTTAGGCGTACGCAGCACATGTCTCAACCACCTCAACTGATGAAGTTTCAATACTTTGTCTATTGATCTACCATCCTTACCTAGTACTCGTTTTCTAACGATAGCATTGCTTACTCGGTCGTCCCAGGATACACGAACAATGCTTCTGAGACATCTGTGATCGAAAACTAATAACCTACGATTATCTTCTACTCTTACCGGCCACGTTTCTGATGCATATTGGAGAACGGAGCGAACTGCTGCACTCGTGCTTTAGTCAGAAAACGGATATCTCACCTACGCCATAAATGACAAAAATTAGCAAAAGCCAATCGAGCTTTCCGTATCCATGCTGAGATTTTGTCAGTCACCAGTCCATCGACACTAATGAGACTCCCAAGATAAACGGTGGTCTACACGCCCGACTACTTCACTCCCTATCACTAGTTCAGGTGCCGATCCAACCCAATCTTGAAGCAACATTTTGCATTTCGAGGGGGAAAACCGCATCCCAAACATGCATGCATTGTTGCTCAGGGTAGTCAGAAGACTCTGCATTTTGTCAGCGTCTTCACCGAATAGAACTATGTCATCGGCATATTCTAGGTTAGTAAGCGATTGTCCTGGTAGAAGGTCAACCCCTGAAAAATCTGACGAGCTTAATGTTAACGCTAAGAGGATGTCTACGACATAGTTAAACAAGAATGGAGAGAGTGGGCAGCCCTGACGGTTCGCCATAAGCTCTCACTCGACCAGTGGTGTTCGAGTAGAGAGCTTGTATAAGGTTAATGTACTTCTTCGGTACACCTTTCAATGACAGACACTGCCACAGAACCTCACGATCCACTGAGTCGAATGCCGCCTTAAGGTCCAGGAACACGACTAACGTCGGACGTCTAAATGTGTGTCTGTGTTCCAGGACCTGTCGTAGTGTGAATATCTGGTCTATACAGACACGTGTAGGTTGAAAACCAGCTTGGTTTTCTCGAGTCTGCTCTTCACGAGCTCTAGTTAGGCGTCTAAGTATAATCGAGGCTAACAATTTAGAAACTATGTTAGTTAGACTAATCCTCCTGTGATTGTCACAGGAGGACTTTTGTTTTTTCTTATAAATTTGGACAATCAGGGATTGAGACCAGTCAGATGGGATTACGTCCAGTTCCCAGATTCCACCTAAGAAATTCTTCTACTATTTGCATCACTATGGGATTTGAACTGACAGTTTCGTCTCTGTGCTAATGTGGTATGACAACCTGAGTTGATGTACTTACGTACAAAGTTGCATATGAATGACTGACTGACTATTGTAACCTCTTCAACGTACTTTATTGTCCAAAATAAAATAAATTTCACTGAAATTCATTCATGACGTACACTCGAATTTTATGTCAACGTGGTGCCTTAATGATTACTTATTAGTTTTTTCTGTAAATCTTTTTTTCCCGCTTGATTCAAATATATCAAAAGATTCGGATTCATGACTCCCTTGATTTTTATTTTAATAATGAACTTTGGTTCATGGTTAACAATATGATTATTACTTTGTATTACCGTGGCAAGTTTCAATGCCACGAACACGATTGTTACCGTTATATTTCATTTCGTAGTATTTTTTTTTTGAACGTAATACAGCCTTTAAAATTGCTAACTTGTTATAAATAAAAGTTTATGGAGTGAAATCATTTGGGCCTTATTAAAAATAACTGACTGTTTAGTCAGTCAGTAAGATACAACGTAGAGCTTCGTACGTAAGTACATCAGTTCATGTTGCCATACCACATCAGCACAGAGATGTAATTGTCAATTCAAATCCAAAAGCGGAAGAGGCAGTAAAGGTATTAGAAGTAATCGGAGAGGTTAGGATTAGAAGATATTATTCAAGAAGTATGATTCAGTGAGAAAAGTTTAGAAAGTCAAAACTAGAGGCGTTGAAGAATCCAGAAGATTAGGATTTGAGAGAACACAAAGAATAAATGCGCCGGCGCCATTGGAAACGGTTTTGAGCCATGTCATTCAGGGTATCTAACCATCGATTATTATCATCTCGCGGACCCCAACGAGGTAGTCGACAACTACCGACATGACTGTTTATGGGTGAAACTAATCCAAGTCCTAGCTATAATCCATCTTGAAGGTCACTAAGGACGCATAATAATTTACAATTGTGACAATGAGTGTAGTAATAATCCAAAAGGTATAATAATAATAATAATAATAATAATAATAATAATAATAATAGCGCTATTAACATTAAAAACCAAAGTTGCCTAAGATGGTTTTGTTATCACGTACCATAATTTCTGAAGGAGCAAATCGTAGTATTTCGTCAGATTGTTGATCAACATCCAGTACTGAAACATGTGGATGCAATGAATAACGTTCAGGACTAAGAAAAGTACAGAATTTAAATATTCCATTTTCTAGATTTGTTTGAATACGGCTGATTTCAGAATTGTTGGCGACACTACGAACAATGATGTTTACTTTAAGCTGTAAGAATAAAGATGAAAATTAAGCAGATTTTAACGAAAAACCATTGTGAAGATTAAACAAATTGTAAAAAATTTTTGGCATACAATTTCAAGCATTAATTTACTTCAATTCTTGATATATAATAAGTTACTGTAACTTTTTAACTAAATATAATTTTATATACTCTGCTCTGAGTCACACTTCTCGCGAGTTTATTAAATGTTTCCTGGCTTAGTCAAACTGAACTAAGTGCATTAAGAATCAAATGCACAACTCAGTATTTGAGAAGCAAAGCCTCCAGTGACTTTCGTATTTTCATAATTTCAAATAAATCGGAATTAATCATGAAATAGAAATCTAATAAAATTTATTAAACCTGAAATGTTGGATAAAACAGAAAAAACTCTGCAAAACTTGAATAATCCTTAGTTGAAAGACCAAATATTTTGCAACAGAAAACCCAGGAAAATGTAGGTAATTATGTATCTTTTCCAAGTAATACATAGACGACATGATAACTTCAAGTAAGTATTAGAAAGGTGACTAATCTTCAGTTGTTTCTAATTCAAACGTATAACTAAGATCGGATTATTAGTGATAGTGATATCTTTTTATAGATATACAAGTAGAATTGGATGGTTGATAATACTTGGGAAATAGTCCTATTGTTCTAAGGATAATTTGATAAGTTTATTCTTAGCAAATAGATTTCTTGGGGAGAAATACCACGCTACTGACAGTGTGGTGTGTGCTACTTATACGAACGATATAAGTAGTATAAGAAGGGACGTGAGAGAAGAACTCTCACGGTCACAAGAGGAAAACGGAAAGCAAATGGAGCAAAAGCAAGAAGTAAATGGAGTACCGACAGGAAGTAAAGGAAGCAACAGCAGGAATGGAAGAGGGATGGAGTGTTGGAAGTCAGGACTCAAAGATGGTGTGCAAATAGAGTGTTCAATGTAATGTTTTCGTTTTTAATTGACTAAGAGTGTAAACTTGCTAAATACAATCTATCGCGCCTGCCTCAGTCTTCTCAACAGTATCGACTAACTCAAATTAACCACTAACCGCTGCTGAATATATAATAAATACAGTCTTTGGTGAACATCGTCTTGTAAAAGCAGAAACGGTTTATGGAACAAACTCGAATCTTGTGATGGATTTGAGAATAAGTTGGTTATTTACCAAATCATATATGATATGACATATAGTACTACGTAAACAATTGGGGATAATTTAAGGAAATCCTAATGGATGAATAGTATTCTTACTTTTAGATTTGATGTATCAGCTGGTATCAAATTTCCACATACCGAGACTTTGTCAGGAATTAAGTTGGGAAGAGATTCTAGTGCATAGTTTAGATTTATCGAACGAGTTTCAAAGAAAGAGTTTTCTGCATCAATCTATAAGTAATAGGATTGAAACAAAATACATATTGAGTGGAATAAATTTTTAAATATGATATTAATATTTTTGAAGGTTAACTGAAGGTTGTGATAAATGCTAGTTATTGAATATCAAAGTTGAATTCTAATCCACTTACGCAATCTAAAAGAGCGTATTGTTGGCAAAGCTGGATACTTTAATCAATAAAATGTGTCAAACAAATTATCACGACAAATGAATTACCAACACTAACACACGATATTTAAACAGTTTATAAACAAGATAGTACTTAAATAAAGTTGTACGAAGACCTTGAATTGTATTGCATTATTTATTCCTAAACAGAAACCACGAAATTCCAAACTAATAGAATAAACCATATGAACTCTGTAGACAACTAATTCCAGAGTTCTAAAACACTGCGTTTCGTTGAAACATAACACGACTTTGACAAAGCATGCTTCATTTCGACTAACACAGTGAATGGAACTAAAATAAACAGGTACAGAGGACTATACGTGTTAATTTTGTACACCTACAATTAAAAAAAAGACCGAACTGGAAAATACATGTCTTTCAGGGAGCACCATTTCTTCAGACTACTGAATGAAAACTCACAGACATATCGCCCTATATTAATCAGTGACAGTGCCATTCTCAATAAATGTATGTTACTTTTCCGCATCTGATTTGATTGACTAGACATGATTGAGATTCCCTAAGGAGTCTCAACAGTAGATATAGTGAGCGTGATTCCTATTAAACACCTATCATTGTATATTTTTAAACAGTGGAATTCTATGAATGTGTACAGGGTAACCATATTAAAACATCGAAAATATTTGTTTTAAAATCTTTTTAATTTCTTGACTATGATGTCACTTAAGAATACGCAAATCCCTCGATATATTCGATCTAATTATATTTTTCTCATGTTATACTAAGTCGTTATCACTAGTTTTGCAATTACTTTTGTGACTTAAGCTTAAACTATTGCTACCAATATAAAAAAATTCCTAATAGCCGATAATTTTCCAATGTTGTACAAGATAAAACCTAATTTTAAGTAAAAAACAATTAAAACTTAAAATAATGCTAAAATTCACAAAGTGCAAACATGAAAATTATCATTATTATTTTATTAATCAATAATCAAACTATACCTGAAATTTATATTCCCCAGTAGTTAAATCATTCAATTGATAGAAACCATTAGCATCTGTTACTACAGATTGTTGTGAATTACCAGTTGTAATTGTAATCTAAATGTAAAATTATGGTACAATGTGGTAAAAATTATTAAACTGGTAAAAAAAAAACATTACTAATGTTAATCTCTTTAAAAATTTGAACTCAGCCGTTATGAACTAACACAAGAAATTTGATAGTGATTCGTTTGGAAACTATGGATACCAGTGATCATGGCGTTTATACTATACAGAAAAAATACATGTGACAGTCTATTGGGTCAAACTTCAAATAGTTACACCTATATAAAATTGATGTTAACAGAGATAGAAATGATGATTAGTTGGCTACTAACTTCAGTACGATTAACTGAAGCAAGGAATTCTCTAAAGTTGCCTAAAACGAGTACTTCGGGATGTTTGAAGTTAGTAGGATTGAATAGTAAACTGTGAAATTTAGAATGAAGAATATGAATATAATTTTTATTATGGCAAGCTTTTGAGTCTACGTAAGTAAAAAGGAAGTGGATTTTACATCATAAACCCAGATTTCTAAATAACTTAATGGAAAAAATTACCTACTTTTGTAAGCTACTACTGATATCAATCCACGTTAAATATATCTTCACAAGAAATTGTTTTAAATAGAAAATAGACCTAGATCTAACTAGTTTAAATACAAATACATGTATGAAGGGGAAACACTGGATAGGCGTTTCTGAATAAATATTAACTATAAACACAGAATAAAAAAAAGTTAAAGTTCATTACCTTGGCTGACGCTATTGGAGCACCATTGGGCCAAGTAACACGTCCTGGATTTAGCTTGAAGCTTTGTAAAGTAAATGTATTAGGTCCGAGATCCACATCTGTGTGTTCCATTGCCATCGGGAGGAATTTCGGAGTAAATGAAAAAACGACCCTGGACTTCTTAGGTGTATACGAAGGCACAAGAATATAATTGCCACCCGGAAGACGGTCAAATGTAAAATAGCCATCTGAGTCCGTTGAAGACTGGAGTAAAAAGGTAATATTACAAGAAGCATGACTACATAGAACACTTGGAAAAAATAATGATCTGGATTTAACCGTAAGGTCAATACACGCAAGGTATCATGATATTTATAGACATAGATTTTCAAAAACAAACGATCGATTGTTAGATCATTAACTTTTGGAGAGTTGAAACATTTAACCGACGGTAGTTCGAAAGAATGTGAGTCAACTTGATTTATTGTCAAAACTAGCAACCAATTTAAATGATAAATTCAATGAAAATTAATAATAAAACAGTTTAACAGACATTTTCTCACCTCTTGTACTGTTGAAAATTTGTGATGAATTTCACCAAGTGTTTCGACTATATATGAATGTACTGACTTGTCAAGGGTAAGAGAGGATTTCGGCACTGTTTTATCTTTATCACATAATAGGAAAACTTTTGCATCCACTAGAGGATTATGATTGAAATCTACCACACGTCCACGAAGGAAATGACCCTAAGTACAAAGAGTAAAGATATCAAGAATCAACGATGATAGAAGATGACGATATTTGTGCATTTACTCCGTTTTTATAGTTCTGTTCGGTAAAACGCTTGAAACTAAATAAGATAACCATATTAATATAACATCAAATAACCAAAGAGAACTATATCATTAGCATATTCTAAGTCAACAAGCGAGTCTCCTAGTAGAAGATTAACAGAAAATTCAGAAATAAATAATGCTACCTCCATGAGCATGTCTTTAACTAAGTTGAGTAAGAATGGGTATAGTGAACAAACTTGACGAACTCTACGTGAAGTAATCAGTCCCGATGAGAAGACTGAGGCAGGCGCGGAAGATCGTATTATGCAAATTTACACTCTGAGTCAATTAAAAACGAAAACATTACATCGAGCACTATTTGCACACCATCTTTGAGTCTTGACTTCCAACGCTCCATCCTTCTCCCATTCCTGTTGTTGCTTCCTTCCCTTCCTGTTGGTACTCCATTTACTTCTTGCTTTTGCTCCATTTGCTTTCCGTTTTCCTCCTCTGACCGTGAGACTTCTTTCACGTCCCTTCTTATACTACTTATATCGTTCGTATAAGTAGCACACACCACACCGATGACAGTTCGCCATAAGGTGTTTGAGTAGAGAGCTTGTACCAGGTCAGTGTACTCCTTTGGTACGCCTTTTAATGATAGACACTGCCATAGAACCTCACGATCGACAGAGTCAAATAGAACTATTGTGTTCAAGGACCTGTCGAAGTGACTATTTGGTCTACATAGGCGCCCAAACCGAGCATGATGTAATTGTTAAAGGATAGACGATTTGTAAACTAGGTTATTTAAGACACGTGCAGTTTAGTATAAAATAAATTCTTACTAGTAAAATGATTGGTTCCGACAAGTCGATACTATCTGATTGGACTGTAACATTGATAGATGCTCTTGCATGATCTTTATCACCATGGTTTTGATTGCTGATGGTGAGTAAATAGCTACCAGGGGTCACAGGAGATATTGTGAAATAACCCTGATTTTGGGTAAAATTATGAAGTATTTGCTTATGAGTGGTTGGATCAGTTAATCGGACAGATAAATTTGGTGGGCCAGTTTGCATTCCAGAAGTAGTTACCTAAATAAATGTTTTTACTAAATGATAAAAAGAACAAGAACAAACCTGTCCGAAAATTGAGAATCCAACAATACTGAAGTCAAAATCTTTGAGACAAGCTTTCGGTTCTTTCTCAAGGTCTAGAAGGTAACCATCTGACGGTTCGATATGCCAGCCTTTAGGCGTAGTTAACCTAATTCTGTAGACGCCCTCATCGTATAACGGAACAGAATACGCCCCGTTAGGGAGAACATCGGTTACATCTTTTAGAGTGCCAGTAGTTTCTGAAAACAAACTTATTTTCAGCTTTTTAAAGTCAAGTGCAGAATAGGAAGAATCGGTTTTCCATCTTATAAAACCACCACAACCAACAACAGTATCTGAGTGTTGGCTTAATATTCTTGTCGGGAGAAACAACAATGAAACAAGTAAAATCACCATTCCACTCGAACTTTCTAAAACCAACAGTAAAAATGAAGACAAACAATGGATAGTTTTAATTGTTTCTAAAATAATACACAATATTCAAGTCATAATAACAGATGGTTAAGCTATAGTTTATTAGTAGTAGGGTTGCCGCACAATTCACTACTGAATAAATAATAATTAGCAGATTTAGGTTGTTAGAGCTATCAAATAGTTTGGATAGAAAATGAAGCCCAACCGTAGCTGCTACCTTGACGTGGTGGTCGGGCTTGCCTATCGTGATAACCCAGCCGAGCTATACTGGCTGGAACATATGTTCCTGAAGGTTCAGCCATGCCAGGCAGGCCAAGTAGAGGACGGTGTGACTAAAAGCAGCTACTCAAGGTCTGAGGGCGAAGTCGTACTACTGACTGCAGAGAGGTATGACAGCAGTAAGGTGTTTCCTTCGGACAACCAGCATCTGCAGAGATGCTGCCTTCTCACAAGGAAGGAAGGGTTAGAGGTCGACCCTAAAAACGTCACACCTCACCCTACCTCACGGATTTCCGTCTCCTTGGGTAAGGGTGCCCACTAAGGGCTAATAAGAGCGGAGCTAATAGTCAAAAAACCCTTCATAAAAAGGCCGTGTGTGACGGCCTCAAGCAGTTGTCCGTTGGACTCTGCGGTCACGCTCCCAGGTTGTTAAGACCAACTCTAATTTACCTTCCTTTTCAGGTTCCTCAAGAAACACCCTTTCATAGTGTGGGCAGCCGGGAAGTGGCAACCGCCCTCATACCCGTAACAGCACGCGAGACGATACTTTAAAAACTCTCTAGAATCAAGATAGTTGTGTAATTTCCGCACTTTCTGAGTTGTGTGATTCATACATCCTTCCTACACCCCCTAATACCTCTCTTATCTCCACGACTAACTCTTCTCACATTCCTTTATCACACTGCACAGCTAATCCAAACGATGCGAGCTCACCAAACGTCATTTCTGGTCTCCTGAAACCTCGTTCTAGACTACATTTTGGAGCATTTAATGTACGTACATTATGTCAAATAAAACAACAGGCTTCGTTAGCTAGAACTTTAGAATCTCGTGCCATCGATGTATGCTGCGTCTCGGAAACGCGCATACAGGATCCTAGTAAAGTCATTAATCTCATTTCGCCTTGTCAAAACAAAGAAGCAGCCCGATTTAATCTTCATGTATCCGGTAGCCCTGATGCTGCTTCCAGGGGTCTTGCTTGCGTAGGCATAGCATTGAGTTGTAGAGCTGAACAATCTCTTCTTGACTGGATCCCAGTAGATAGTCGCTTGTGCGCTGTCCGACTAAACGGGACAGTAAGGACTCGGAAGGATAGGGACAATAGCCGTTGCCTCTTCGTCATATCTGCCTATGCCCCCACTGACTGCAGTTCAGACGAGGTTAAAGATGAGTTTTACAGAAAGCTTTCGGACCTTCTCCAAAAAGCTAGGCACTCTGATGTAGTAATAATGGCTGGTGACTTTAATGCTCAAGTAGGTAGACTGAGTGAAAATGAAAGACACCTAGGTGGATGTAATGGTGTCGCAGCTCAGAGAACAGACAATGGTGACCGTCTGTTGCAAGTATGCACAGACAGCCGCCTATTCTCAGCAAACACTAACTTTAGGCATAAGGAAAAACATCTGTTGACCTGGCGACCTCCAAAGTCGTCTCAACGTTGGACCCAACTAGATCACATTGCCATCAGCCACCGATCAAGAGGTTCGATAGAGGACTGCCGCTCGTTTTGGGTCACATGTTTAGATTCAGATCATGCCCTAGTGCGAGCTCGTACTTGTTTGAGGCTTACTGGACGTAGGAAAGACACCGTAAGAAAGCCTCTTAGGGTTTTACTTAATGATAATAAGGCGAAGAATATATTTCGGGAACAACTAGAGAGACAGTTAGGCGACCATTTTAGCGATTCCCATCCGGAGGCAGGTTGGAATGATATCAAGAAGGCTGTGCAAACAGCAGTGATATCTGCTAGTAAGGTTGACCATAAGGCTAGAATGAAGCCGTAGATCTCTGTAGCATCCCTCGAAATGAGGGGTGCCCGAAAACTCATCCCACCTGGCTCTGAACATGATGAAGAACGAAGTCAGCTTAAGCGCATACTGATAAAAAGCCTGCGCAACGACCGTGAACAGTGGTGGGTGGCGAAAGCAAAAGCGATGGAAAAGGCAGTGGCGATCGGCAACAGTAGACAACTTTTCCGACTTATCAAGGAAACTGGTATTAAGAACCCGAATGAGTGGGACTATCTCGGAAAATGGTGGGACTATTACTTATTCTCAATCCAGGAGACTGGAGTGATGGGCAGAACACTTTAGGGATCAGTTCAACTGGCCTCGAGCCACTCTTCGGTTACCCACGATCTCCAGTCATCCTGAATGGCAAATCGACGTAAGTCCGCCTAGTCTTAATGAAGTTGAGAAAGCGTTAGGAAATCTGAAACGAGGACGAGCTGCAGGTCCTGATAGACTGACCCCTGAGATATTTAAGGATGGTGGTACAGTTTTAGCAGCTAGATTGACTGAGATCTTAGGTAGAATCTGGGAACTGGACACAATCCCATCCGACTGGTCTCAATCACTGATGGTCCCAATCTATAAGAAAGGACAGAAGTCTTCTTGTGACAATCACAGAGGAATAAGTCTAACTAATATAGTATCTAAAATATTGGCCACAATAATACCCTAACGCTTAACGAAAGCTCGTGAAGAGCAGACTAGAGAAAACCAAGCTGGTTTTCGACCTGGACGTGGTTGTATAGACCACATTTTCACACTACGACAGGGCCTGGAACACACACACACGTCGGCGTCCTACAATAGTTGTCTTCCTGGACCTACAGGCGGCATTTGACTCTGTAGATCGTGAGGTTCTGTGGCAGTGTCTTTCATTGAAAGGTGTACCGAAGAAGTACATTAACCTTATACAAGCTCTCTACTCGAACACTACTGGTCGAGTGAGAGCCTATGGCGAACTGCCATCGGAATTATTCACTTCAAGTGGAACCGACTGCCTTGACGAGCTGTTTGGTGGTGTAGGAGTAGATTGGAAGAAAGCTAGCGGCGGCCAGACCAAAACATGGCACAAATCCATGAAGTCACTGAAAAGTGGACTGAGTCATGTTGGTAGGTGTAGGCTACCTGGTTGGGGTCCGCGAGACGATAGTCATCAATGGTTAGAGACCTTGAATGACATGGCTCAGAATCGTTTGCAATGGCGCAAGTATATTCATTCTTTGTGTTCTCCCGAATTCTAACCTTCTGAATTGCTCATCATCTCTATTGTTCTCTATCTCATGTTATCTCACTTAATTATACTTCTCGAATCATATCTTACAACTCTAATCTTCTCCATTACTGCTTATACATCTTCTGTCTCTACCACGATTGGATTTGAACTGACAGTTGCGTCTCTGTGCTGACGCGGTATGGCAACCCGGAATTATGTACTCATGTACGAAGTCTTGCGTTGTAACTGACTGACTGAAGCAAAGGACGAGTCTACGGTACAATAGTTCTATCTGCCCAAAGTGTGATATTTTACTTTTAATGCTTAACTAAGGATATTCGATACATACATACATAATTAGATCTAGTCACTAATAACTCCAATAAAGCCTTAGCTATTGTTTATAACCACGACACCTCGATTACCATCTACTATTCAAGAAAGTAAAATAAAGCGCTCACGGCGGTCTTAGTAGTGTATTAAATGATTACTTATGCTGAAGACAAATTTAATCCAACAGTACTATCGACTGATCACCTTAAATATGTTTCCCATTTCATCAAAAAATATACAGATGATTTGTTACGACCGGAACTAACCCAGGGTTTTCCCTACCATGCTAAGAAGCACGGCACTTGTAAGTTGCGGTACCTAGGAAGACCTTGAAGGACGTTCAAAGATTTATGAACGGCATAGAACAAGCTTTTCAAAACGGTTTCCCATATTCAGTTATTATGGATCAACGATCCCTACAGGTAGGAACCGATCTATATTTAACAAAGAGCAATGGGATAAATTCTGCTCCACCCTCGGAATGTGCGAGGTCCCAGCTAGAATCTGTCGCCTTTTCAAAGGCCAGAACGTCTCGAAAGGAAAACCCCCTCCAATGAGGGTAACTCTTGACTCAGCACGACTAGCTGAAGACATCATCCTTTCGTCCCAAAGACCATCGGTCAAATTGTCCTCGCTGATTCGTATCAGGCATGACAAGCCGTGGTCGGTACGTGCAGCAGCCAGAACTGCACCAGACACCCAGGAACAGACCACCATGGTAGTTCACGGCATACCCGAACTCACCAACGGCAACCCGGACGAAGCACACGAGCACGATGTGCAACAGTGGCGATGGCTATCGCGTAGCCTATCCCTCCACACCCCGATGGCAGTCTGAATCTCCAGGTTGCCCCGCCCGTCACACCTTACGTCTATCAAGTCACCACGCCTGATAGCTGTAACACTCAGGAACCGGGAAGACCTGACCGAAACACTACAAGCTTGGTACAGTTCGAAGAACGATCTACCTAGCCACATCAGATGTTGCGAGAGCCGACCTAGATCTGTGAGACAACAACAGGGAGGCCAAAATGAACGCACACAGCTGATAGTTAAACTCGGTCAACTACCTCTGGCTCAAGATGTGAGTGAACCAACCGCGCAGGCAAAAAACCTGCAGAGGCCAGTTCCCACAGAACTGGCCGACTCGGTTTAAATAACTTGTCTGAAAACCCGACTAAGGCTGATGCTGCAAATGTGCACCAGGTTCAGAGACAAACCACCAAGTGCCTCTGTAGCAACGTAAGAGGACTAAGGGGTAAGCTGTTAGAAGTCAGGAATATGCGCTCTCAGATGGATCTGAAGATCATAATCCTAACAGAAACATGGCTATCCCCTGACATTGCAGACGCAGAAGTGGGCTTGCCAGGCATGACACTCTTCCGAAGCGATAGGGAACACCAAACTGGAGGTGGAGTGGCTATATATGTAAATAGCCACTTAAAAGCAGAGCGGCTATACAACACCCAACTAACTGAGGTGACAGAATCATGTTGGTGTTGGTTCCACTCAAATGGCACGAAATACTTGATTGGAGGGATCTACCGACCTCCTTCGGGTACTAGGGCCCAGAAAAGCAAACTGGTTGAGGTAATTCTGCAACTGCCACTCCTGGGGTTTGATCAAATACTCTTAGCCGGAGACTTCAATACCCCATCTTTAAATCTCAGCAATCAGAGTATCACTCCCACCGGTTGGTTCCAAAGACAACTTGGTACAGCCATTAGAAGCTCTGGCATGACTGAGCACGTACGCAGCGCCACTAGGTGGACTAAGGAAGGGAAGTCCTCAAACCTAGATTATCTGTTAACGAACGACCAGCTCCTGGTTGAGGATGTTAACATCCGCGCTCCAATAGGTAGTAGTGACCATGGCAAAGTCCTGTTTAACATGGTCACAAACGAAACGCTGACACCGGACGATAACGAGCCTTACCTTTGCTACAGTAGGGCAAACTACACACGCATGAGAGAGGTGCTCCTACATGCCCCATGGCCACGGGAATGGCAGAGGCTGACAGTAGATGATCACTGGCAAGCAGTGAGAGATATTATCCAAAACGCTGTCGTAGACAACGTACCTCAATCACACCCAAAACGCCAGAACAGAAGAACCTGGGTTAGGCGCAGCACGGAACGCTTGCTACAGGCGAAGAGGAAAGCCTGGCACAAGTGGAAGGTCTCCTTGAAGGATTCCGATCGCAGTTCTTACTTGGCATTGAGAAACAGATGCAATACCAAAGTTCGAAGCGACAGGAGACAATTACAGACGATACTAGCCGCCAGAATAGAGGCAAACCCGAAACATCTGTTTAGGTTCATGTCCAAAAGAAAACCTACTAATCAAGGGTTGTGCCCCCTAAAAGGGCCTAACGGAGAAGACCTCACCAACCTAGAGATGGCCGAAATCTTCAACACCCATTTTTCTGATCAGTTAAACCAGGCGCCTACATGTTCAGAGTATTAGGCCAACCCAATGCCACCTGACGGCTTAGGGAACATCCGTATCACTCCTGACCTAGTATTAAGGAAACTAAAATCCTTACGCCCAGGTAAGTCACCAGGTTGTTACAACATCTGCCCTATAGTCTTGCAACAGTGCGCTGAAGCCCTCTGTTCACCGTTATGCAACCTGTTCAGGCATTCACTGGAGTCACACGAATTCCCAGCGGAATGGAAACAAGCTACTCTCTCTCCAATCTTCAAAGGAGGAGATAGAAAGGACCCAGCCTGTTACAGACCAGTCGCAGTACTACCTATATTATCAAAGGTTATGGAAGGGCTAGTGGACGAACAAATGAGGGAGTACATGGATAAGAATAAAATACTCCATGAAGCTCAACACGGGTTTCGGAAAGGCAGGTCGAGTGCATCTAATCTTCTCATCGCATGGGACAGTTGGACATCCTGCTTGGACCGTAAAATACCAGTGCACGTAGTATTTCTCGACTTCGCAAAAGCCTTTGACACAGTGCCCCACGCACGCCTAATCGAAAAGGTTGTGGAAATGGGCTTCACTGACCCACTCGTATCTTGGCTCAGAAACTACCTTGAGAATAGAAAGTTTCGCACCAAGGTAAACAGGGTGCACGCGAGTTGGAGAGTATCCACTTCAGGAGTTTCACAGGGGGACCATCCTAGGCCCACTCCTCTTCCTGATATTCATTAACGACCTGCTAAGCTTAGTTAGCTCACCGGCACTGATCTACGCAGACGATGCGAAGATCTGGAGGTCAATTAGAAGCGAAGAGGATTCGACTGAGCTTCGAAAGGACCTTACATCCATTGAGAAATGGGCAGTGAAAAACGGTTTAAAACTCAACCAACCGAAGTGCCACGTCATGCATTTCCTGCCTCATATGACGCAAACCACCTACACTCTCAATTGAAGTCCGCTCCCTAATGTCTCCTCAGAGCGCGATCTTGGTTTAATAACCACAGAAAGCCTCCACACGAGTCCGAACTATGTAGGGGATGCAACCAAAGCAAATGCGACTCTTCACTTTATGCGAAGACAGCTTGGTGCTATAACCCCGAAATTATTTTTAACACTCTTTAAGACGTACGCGCGCCCACACCTGGAGGTTCACAACATCATCGCACCCCCTCTGCTTAAAAGAGACATTAATCTCTTGGATCGAGTGCAGAGACGAGCAACGAAATGGGTGATAGGGTTGAAAAATAAACCCTACGACGATAGACTCCAGCTCTTGGGATTATTCCCACTGAGCTACAGGAGAATCAGAGGTGACCTGATTATGGCGTACACCATATTAAACACGCCAAACCATCCCAATGTGAGCATCTTACCGATTCATCACCACCACTCCCCTCGAGGCAATCCTCGAAAGATTGCACATCAAAGAGCAAACACTCAGATTCGTGCACACTTTTTCTCATTGCGAGTCGTTGCACCCTGGAACGCTCTCCCAGCCGAGGTAATTACAGCCCCCTCAGTGGACTGCTTTAAGAAGAGACTTGATAATCACGTACTCACATGCGGACTATCATCTCCCTCTTGGACAAGCTGTGCCTGATGCATATCTTGAGACCTGCTAGTTGTTACCATTGCCATCTCCTCAGATCACTTAATTAATCTATCGCCTATTCCTCTCCCTTGCTTACACTTCGGTCCTCTCCCACAATCTTCACTACCAATTAATAAACTAAATTCATCTATATATTACTCAGTTCTGAAATTTTACTCATATTATCATTTTAATTTACCCTTATTACCCTTATTACTCTCCACATTGCAACTAACTGATCTCCGGTTTGGTAATGTGACGGCTGCTAGTATCCAGAAACCCTACTGCCCTGAAACAAACGTTTCATTCAAATCCCGAGACATACAAACTCACAACCAACTGCCAACTGACTAGAATTAGACAGTCGAGTGGCTAGACCTCCATCCATTGGACATTACCGAACACCTGGAACCGTACCGAAAGAACAAGAATCGAGCGCGAAGAAATCAAATTGGTTTACACTAGCTTGTGAAAAATATATTGGATATTGGATATTGAACAAGTAAAAGAGAATTATTGGCACGAAGTGGAATACCGTACTGACTCTTCTGAAATGTCAAGTTTCTCCTGTAAAGATTGATAGGAAGAAATTGTGTCATCAGTCCATTGTGCTAAGTTTTGCTTCTAATTTTTGGGGAAACACTTATTGTTTTGAGACTCTGCTTAAGTGGGTGGGTCCAAGAATGTTTTTGGGTGCTATAGGTGAGATACTGTTAGAAAATCATCTCTCAAGGTCCTATTCTCCATCGAGTAAATACTCAGTGATATGATGTACTCTTCATAAGTTTCAAATGTGAGTCCTCGAAATAATTTCATGGTTCACTTTGAGAAAAGTTTCAGCGTATTTTTGTCCTTTTCGAGTGAGGAAGGAGTATATGTCCATACTCTAAATAGAGCTAAATAAGGCCGGGTAATGTTCTGCCGTTAAAGTGGCCAAGAATAAACCTCTGCGTTGCCAGAGCGAGGTTTCTTCTGGAGACATATTTGTCATAGAGTAGAAAATAGATCAGTGGATCCTAAGTCTTTTAGATCCTACGAATCTCAAGAAGCTTTTAGAAAGGAACTGAGTTGTATTTAGAGTCTTCGATGTCAATCAGATTGACTGATTTGCACTTCGAAGTGATAAAATCAAACTAATTGTAAGTTTCCTAACTTTAAAGTCAACTTAGATCTTTTTGAAGCGTAAGCTAGTCGTCTGGGTCACAAACATCTGTTCAAAGCTTAAGATTGACAGGTGAAAGAGCTACCGGTCTCAAACTTGAAAGTCGCCTGAGTCGAAACCTCGTGAAAATGAATCCCATATGCAACAGCTTCTAGTTGTCTGGGACCATACCCTGATTAAGCGAATATTCGGACACCACTTTGAGCGATGTTGCTAAGACTGTAGCCGCTTCTCTCAGTTCAGCAAAGTGAACCACGTCCAGGTCAGGAGCACTATTGTTGTTTAGGCGATGCAGTGTTGACACACTAAATCAGCGCTCAGGTTCACTTTTGAGACTCCCCTAAGATAACACATGAGGCTTATATTTGAATCCATGATCTGCTGAGGTGAAAAGGATCATCAGTGTTTTGGCACGTCAGAATCAGTTTATCTCATAGTGAACATTTTGTAAGTTTGGAGTTTCCCGGTGAGCAGAATAGAGTTTGGTTTTTGATGCAAGCAAAGCCTCAATCTCTCTTCTATCTAACAAAGTAATATCCCATCTAATATAAGATGTTTATTTACGTGAATTTTCCAGATAGCGTCTTGTGTAAGTAGCCAAATAAGTTTTATGCAAATCCGAATTTAGGCAACCTCATGTTCTGGAATTAAACCCCAAGAGTGAGTTTCTGTTTCATCTACGGAACGCCAATTAAAGGGGATACAGACTCTCACACAGAGTTGTTTCGAATGTTTTTTTGGAATGGAAAGCCTCAATCTATAGTCTTCCAGAAATTTAGAGGTGGCAGAGGTTTTACTGCTGTTCAACAGTAGAATCTTGCTTCCACTGTCATAGGAAGTCGTTCTGTGATTCGTTAGTCTGTCTTGTATGTACCAGTACATAAATTCCTTAAATGAATGGCTATGAAAATCTTGATGTTTACCATATTCGTTTCCCTAGGCACACTCATGAGTGAAAACACTCTACTAATCATCCGCACAAAATTTTCGTTAGCAGGATTGTGCGACTCATCTCATATGATAACTAGTCAACTTAGCTTCTATACCCTACAGTACATCAGCTGATGTTTAAAATACTTTTTCTGTATTTCGTTTCTCTTGAAACAATTATGTCACATGAGTTTTGGACATTAACACCGTCGAAATTTGCGTATGTGTTAGCCTCTTAATGAACGCATCTTCTTGGGAAGTCGAAATATTGGCATGATTAAAACTTTTACTACTACATCCAAACTCTACTCCGGTCTGTTCTTAAATAACTATTGGCCCTAATAACAAAGTTTAAGTTAAAAAAAATATATCCAAAACTCAGGCTGATTATATTCACCATACGAGTATATTGTCAGTAATTCACTACGAATTCCTCCTGTTGCACCTACATTCTCGAGTTACAGTATAGAAGCAGTGAAGTATGACTACCATGTTAGTGTGACACTGAGAGAATACGTCAAGTTGTCACAGCGTTACCGATCAACCCTACCAGAATCATTATTAAATCGAATTCTTTATTTGTTACACCTGAACAATTATGTTCACTCATTCAAATAATTTTTAATGATTGTTTGTAACTTGGTTCTGATGAATTTCATTTTTAAGTTTTGGTTGTACTTGTCCAATAATTCGAGTCAGTTTTAGGAAGACTAGGTATGGAGCCTCGACCACTGAAGTTTAAAACAAATATGCAGTCGACTTTAATCTCTTCCAAATAGCAAAACGATCTGAATTCTTCCTTTAAAACTTTTGAACTAATCAGATAGCCTAGAAACGTTTTCTGGGGAGAAGAAATCAGAGACGTTGAAATTTTTAAACTGTAATATTTAAGGAAAATTCATCTTCATTTATTATCATAGCAAACAAATGGGGATGAACGATTCAAATTTTCTGGGTCTTAAGATAGAACAATTTAGTATACCGACCAGAAGAAACGCTCGATCAATTTTTATGTCACAGAACAGAAAGCGCCTTTCGTTTTAGGACTTTCTATGTTTTGTGAAAGGGGGATACAAAAATTTTGAACTTGTCACCTACTGCGTCTCAAATATATATACTAATAATAATGTAGTAAGAATGTGTTGTTTGTTGTGTGGTAGATATTTTTATTTTACGCGCTTGTAGAAATTTTTTCATAAAAATCATGTCTTTAAAACCACGTACTTGTTTATCAATACTATTGAGAGGTAATAATGATCAGATAATTAAATGAATCAGTGGTATTTATTCATCCTAAATATTTGAAATAAGACAATGTCTGCCAAACAAACGTAGGACATAATAGTAAGTTCCTTGATTAGACAGGGAGTTCATAGTGTGGTGCTGTGGTGCGAACTACTTATAACTAGTATATGACGTGAGTGTCAACGTAAAGTCTGGTAGCATAATATGGGGGAAGATCAAGAAAGGAAGAGTTAGAAAACAATGGAATTTGTATGAAACGCATGAATAGTGACAATGGATTGATGTTTTGCAACAGGAACAGTCCAGTTCGACATGATGAACTGATCTTTTGCAAATTAACGATTTACGATATGGTTTTCCGATTTTACTGAGTAACTCTGTAATTTTCGCTAAATACAGTTTGGTTGCCCCACCTGTGTTCTCATTCACTACAATAGTAGTTAAAATAACCAGCCGGTTATGGAAATATCATAGAACATACAATTCTTGCTCGTGTTGTAAGTCAATGAATGGTAATTTATAAAAGTTTCTTTTAATATATCAGTTATAATTTTCAAATTATTAAACTGACTTATCTACCATTTTCTAGGGAATGGTTGGTTGTGATAAAAAAAAAACAATTGTTTCCTATCTTCATAAAGCTAACACTGAACCCAAGAGTATAGCATGATGATTTCAATAGGGCGCAAGTATTAATCAAACAAAAAAAAAATAATTCATCTGTTATTTCTACAAGTGATTTGTTTTCAATCAAAATACAAATAACGATGTCATTACTACATGAAACATATGAGAAATAATGGTAAAAAAAATATATTTATTATAAAAAGATTTCACAAAATATATAAATGATTTTTATGTCAGTCAAGCTTTAAAACGCTTACATTGATATTATATTTATTTACAGTGGAAGTTTATTGTTATAATTGGTTATTTGATTACTTTCCGCCCAATTTGCACAATTTTTTGTACGGACACACACACACAGTTACTTATTCTATTAGTCAATCTAATGCATTTTAAGTATAACTATGTTCCGTTCTGTGCAATTCATGTCGTGTTTTCTGTCAGATTGTTAGAAAAATCAATAAAACTAGATCCTATACAGCCCTTATTCTTCCTCTCCCTTTTGCTTTTGTTCTGTTCATATATGCTCAATCGTTTATAAATGATTAATATATGTGATTTACATATTAATAAAACTTCATTTTTTATTTTTTGTGCTGTTGTTATTGAATAATCATGACTGATATGACTGGTAAAGAGAATGTCGAGAATTTTCTATCCAGATTTCGTGATCCACAAACACATCGTTTTCATTCAGTTACTGCATTAGATTTCTTAAAATGTTGGCAACATTATGATACCGATGGAAATGGTTATTTAGAAGGTGAAGAATTGGATGGTTTCTTACGTGAATTTATCACAAGTGTTATACCAGGTGAAATTGGCAGTGAAATCTTATCGGAAACAGCAATGCAACAATTAATGACTGAAGTAATGGATGCCTACGATGAAAATAATGATGGACGTATTGATATTAATGAATTATGTCAAATTCTGCCAACGGAAGAAACATTTCTAGCATTATTTCAAATTGATACACCATTATCATCAAGTGTGGAATTTATGCGTGTTTGGAAACAATTCGATACCGATTTAAGTGGTTCCATTGATTCAAATGAATTAAAACAATTTTTACAACATTTAATTGTTATATCCAAAGTTGAAATATCGGATGAAAAATTAGATGAATACACTGAGACATTGATACGACTATTTGATCGTAATGGAGATGGTAAGTTACAATTAAGTGAAATGGCAAGATTGCTGAGAGTAAAAGAGAATTATCTTATTAAACCATTATTTAATAATAATAATTGTTTAGATGAACGAACAATTGATAGAATATTTCGTAAATATGATACTGATAATAATGGTGTATTAGAAAATGAAGAATTAATGGGATTTTTAAAAGATTTGCTAGAAGCTAACGGGGAAGAAGTCAATGAAGATAGTTTAAAAACTATGAAAGAAGGTATTTTAAAACAATGGGATATTAATAAAGATGGGAAAATTGGTCGACAAGAAATTAATGATTTAATTTTACAAACTGTTCATATATTACAAGAGAAAGAACATTTGAAAAAATTCAATGATTCATATGAATAAAATATTGTGTTATGAATTGTACTGCTTGTGTGTGTGTGTGTTTGTTTTACGCTTTCTATTTATTATGAATAAGACTAATCATCCTCTTCTGAACACTCACAATACAAGAATTCTTCTTAACTCAATTGATTTTTGATCGTATTCTTATGCATTGAGAGTGTAAAATTTTGAATAAATTAATATTGTCATTTTGTTGTTTACGACGATATTTTTAATCATTTAACTAACATCAAATTTGAATATTAACTTATGTAATGTTTGTTCTATGTTTGTTTTAAACTTATGCTAAAAACACAATTTCATCTTAGAATGATGCACTAAGTTTTTGATTATCAATATGGAGTTCAACCCTGTCGGGTGTAGGCAGTAATTAACAAAGACAAATGGGTGAGGTCGCGTAAAATCCGTAGTACAATCAGAGTTAGACATTAACACTGTTGGATTCCGGCCAAGTGGTCCGATGGTTAGGCGTTCGCGCACAATACCGAAAGTCTCGGGTTCGAATCCTGCGAGGTGCAGGAGTCGTGGATGCGCACTACTGATGAGTCCCACCATATCAAAAGGAAACGGCCGTCTTTCAGTGCTTCCAGGTTTCTAATGGTGGTCTAGTAACAATGATTGATTGATGATTTCAAATGTGTAAAAACACAAAACCTCCAAAACTCTGCCCGTAAATGAAAGTTGTTTGAAAGCACTGAAGATAATGATATACAACTTAGTAATTCATCATTTATAAGTTACATTTGTTAATACACACTTGTCAGTACCTGATACTAGTCAGTCGATTTAATGACAACAGATACAAAGTGAGTTCAACTACATGGCCATGTTATTGAAAATTGAGTACTATATCAACTGAACCTTTGCTATATAATTTAATCAGATTTGTATTGAATCTTCAAGAATTAACTTATACAATAGGTTCGTTTGATAGGTATGTATTTTTTTGTTTTGAGTGGGATGCAGTGTTGACCCTTTGAATCATATTATTATGATTGGTATACTTACTTACTTACGCCTGTTACCGCCAATAGAGGAGCATAGGCCGCCCACCAGTTTTCTCCAACCAACTCTGTCCTGAGGTTCCCTTTGTAGTCCTTTCTACTTTTTGTTCATTCTTCTCAAATCTTTCTCTATTTCTCGGCGTAATGTGTTCCTTAGTCTTCCTCTTTTCCTTTTGCCTTGAGGGCTCAAAGTGAGGGCTTGTCTTGTGACTCAGTTAGGTGCTTTTCATAATGTGTGTCCTATCCAATCCCATCGCTTCTTCTTGATTTCCTCATCTACTCGAATCTGGTTTGTTCTCTCCCACAGTCCGTTGTTGCTGATGGTGTCTGGCCAACGAATCCGAAGTATTTTTCGTAGACAACTGTTCATAAATACTTGTATCTTGTGGATGATGGCTTTTGTAGTTCTCCAAGTTTCCGCTCCATACAGTAGAACTGTCTTGACATTTGTATTATTGAAAATCCTGATTTTGGTTTTGGTTGAAAGTTGTTTGGAGTTCCAGATTGGTATAGTTAAGAAAATACGGTGCAGAGATAGTTGAATACAAAGTTTTAAAAAAAAGATGAATAAGTTGAGCATACAAGTAAACTGTGAATACAAAACAAATATAAAAGGTTAGAAGAGTATAAATAGTAGATAGTTTAATGAGAAAAACTTCTGGTCAACTAACTATGTGGTAAACAGATCAACTTTACTATGTCCGTAAGCAAACTCAAAGTTGAACATCAGATTTATTTTCAGCATGTACAACACAAACACACACACAGTGATATAATCATTTCATACAGTTATTACTTAAAATACATTGATATATATATATAAATAAACAGATTTTCACTATATATATACTTATTTTGTAAATAATGATTTAAAAGATATATCTATTAATAACAAACTAATTATAGTCTTCATCTGATCTGATTCCCACTAAGATGGTATAAGAATTCGGAGTAAAGTTACGTTTTTTTTGCTCAACAGTCAACTCACAATTAAGTAATTCTATAATTATCATTTACACTGGAAGTTATCAGCTTCTGGTACAATCGATCAGTAGCTTATATGATTGTGTTAATTTAGCAACAAAAGCAAACAGCCTGATTTCGTTAAGAAAATAGTGTTAACGTAGTTAGTGATGTTCAGTAATTGAAAAACAAAGTTTAAAATGACTGAATTCGAACAACAACAACAACAACTACTACCACTACTACTACTACTACTACTACTACTACTACTACTACTACTACCACTACTACTACTACTACTACTACTACTATTACTACTGCTACTACTACTACTACTACTACCACTACTACTACTACTACTACTACTACTACTACTACTACTACTACCACTACTACTACTACTAATATTAATAATAATGATAATAATAACACGGTTTACTTTACAACATTTCATTCTGGATGCTTCAGTCTGTATTTCTTAACAGACTGATATACTAAACTAAGATTTGAACGCTATCAGGTGTGTCCTCAACCTCTATTTTACAACCTTATGAATTTACGGTATTTCTCATCTTACTTAGTTCACTGAAGTCTTTATTAGTGAAAGTGTATAAGCAAAAATAATTTGAGTAGTTTATCTTAGTGTAATATTCATTAAATTATCAATAAATTTTTTTTTATAACCACCTAGGCACATTATCTCACATAGATAAACCTTGAAATAAAATAACTTTATTAGATTAAAATACCATAAAATAAAAATATGATTTAAGAAATGTAATAGGATATTTTATCGTGTTTATTGGTTTATAATGCTTAATTATTCTTCATTCAAGGTTAATTTCTATTTATAAATGAAAACAAAGAATAAATAAAAGTATGACGTTTTCTTCATGTGACTGACGTAAAGATGAATTAGTCGAAAACACTCCCACTTTTACAAAGAAATAACAAAATAAAAAGTATGACGAAACTGAGTAAACTGATTGATTTGTTAAGATTGAACATCATGTAAATGATACGATTTCGATTATCGATAAATGTGTTTGTTTATTCATCAAAATTAAGAATATTTTAAATTTCATCATCACATGACAGTTGTTGAAACGTTCCTATCATAGTACTTTAGGTAGTACTTTAGGTTATTTTTCTTTATGTACTCAAAAGGTTCCACTGCTGGATTTTGTCAAGATTCCAAACTGAATGTCTCAAATGAAAATCTATTAAATAAAATCAATAATATATCTATCTGTTAGCCTAGATTTCTGGAGTAGAAGATCAAATGAGAATTAGGAAAGTGTTAGATAACTATTATTATTAACTGTTAAGGTTATTCAAAACTATTTTCGTTGTCAGATGATATAGTTTAATCATCAAAACACTTTAAACATTTATTTCTAACGTATGTGTAAACTCAAGGAAGCCGATACTTCTTTCTTAAGCCCAAGTCAACTGGAGCTCAGAAAATAGAACTACATGAATAACTCTTTTGCTGATAGTATTTATTTAATATTTTGAAGAACATTTAAAGTGTTCTTTAATACGATTACCAAATAGTCCAAAAACTCAGAATGAGAGATTAAAATAAACTTCTGACTCCTAGCGAAGATTGAAAAGTTTTAGTGATGGACTCTTGTGAATTAATCCTGAAGATTGTAGTTTCAGCAGTTAAGGTGATTGAGATACAGATTAGAGTATAGAAACTTTGTGTAATATCACCTAAACGGTATCAAATGCCAGTAATGGTGATTTATAAGACAGGGCTGAGAATCCTTCTACACTTGCATCACTTGACAAATGTAGTATCGAGAATATTAACCGCAGATGTGTGAGGAACAGGCCGGTTTCATACTTAATTACGAAAGCAGAAACTTATTATACACCCTTCGTTAGATTCCTTCATTTGCAAAACCATACAGGTCCCTAACCATAGCAGTATTTAATGACTTTGAAACAGCTCTCTAATTCTTTGACAGGAAGTTTGTATGGCAATGTCTGACACTGAAAGATTTGCTAAGAGTGATATACGAAAGCACCCTACTTGAACACTATTGTCAAGTCAGAGCTTACGGTGAAGTATACTCAGAACTCATAGCATTTAACAGTGTTAGCTAAAGTTGTCCTCTACTTCTCTTCTTATCTAACTTGTCGTAATCATTCTTTTATAGATAACACTTTCATCCTTTGACTTTATAGGACTTATGGTTACACCAGTAGATTCGCTTTTTAATTTATAGTACGTAGACGACGTACATATATCTTTTGAGGTCCCTGATAAGACTCAGAGCCCTCTGATCTTCATGACCAACAATACAAAGACGTTTGCAAGTATTTATTTTCCTGTAAATACAAAATGGTATCCTACGAATGATCTGCATCAACTCTTAATTCGATCACAAAGAGAGAAGTAGTTAGATGGATCTATCCTTTCTCTTAGTTTAACAGTCTTATCAATTCGGCACTTGAACTAGGGTTAGGTAGTGAAAAATTTGAGTGTAATGACTGCTTTACATATCATGAGAGTTTTATCAGTGCTGATGGTCTGGTGTATGACAAAATCTCGGCACGGTAACAAAGGGCTCGGCTGGCTTTGCCAACGTGAGTCATTTATGACTTAGGGGAGATGTCCGTCCACTAACCGAAGGACGGAATGCCCGACCAATGACTGCTTCGACGAGCTATGTTTTGTGGTGTAAGAGTAGGTTAGAAGAAAGGCCAAAACATGGAAGAAATCCATGAAGTCACTGACAAGTGGACTGAGTCGTGTTGGTAGGTGCTGACTACCTGGTTGTGGCCGGCGAGAGGAAAATAACCGGTGGATAGAAACCTTGAACTATATGGCTCAAAACCGTTTGCAACGGGACAGGTACATTCATTCATGGTGTTCCCTCAAATTCTAATCTTCTGAATTCCTCATAATCTCTGTCTTTCTCCCTCTAAATTTATCTCACTGAATTATACTTCTAGAATCATACCTTCGAACCCTAATCTTCTCTATTGCTACTAATACCTCTACTATCACTACCACTATGTGATTTGAACTGACAGTTGCGTCTCTGTGCTGATGCGGAATGGCATTCCGAACTGATGTACTCATGTACGAAGTTCTACCGTGTAACTGACTGACTGAACCAAAGGACGATTCTATGGTACAATAGTTCTATCCGTCCCGCTATACGGGTGTGAAAATTGACGAGTAAGAAAAGAGGATATTTCCAAGTTACTAGTATTCGATCATAAGAGTCTTAGAAGCGTTGCTCGTATATCCTGGGACCAGCGAGTTGGCAATTCTGTTGTTAAGAAAAAAGGAATTAGTGATGGACGATCAAATGATGGCTTAGTGAACGTTTATCATTTGAGGTGGTTGGAACGTGTAATACGAATGCCTAACCAACGACTACCTCGACAGGCAATATTGTCTGATCCAGAGGTAGGCTAAGAGAAAGCTAGGGGCGGTTAAACTAGGATGTGGCACAATTCATTGACGTAACGGACAACTAAACTGAGACATGTTAGTAGGTATAGACTACCTGGTTAGGGTGCGCGAGATAATAGTAACTGGTGGTTAGAGACTTTGAATGAAATGGCTCGAAATCGTTTGGAATAGTGGAGGCGCATCCATTATTTGTCTTCTCTCAAATTCTTATCTTTTGAATTGCTCGTGACCTGTTTTCTCTTTCTACATTTATTTCAATGGGATAAACTTCTTGAAACATATCTTCGAACTCTAATCTTCTCCATTACCCGTAATATTTCTACTACCTATACTACTATGAGATTTGTATGAACTCTTCAATCTCTCTGTGCCAATATGGTATGGCCACTTGAACTAATGTAAGTATATACGAAGTTCTGCATTGTAGATGAAGCACTAACTGATATGACATAAGTCATCAATAGTCAATCACAATCACTGTAAACAGGTCAAGTTGTCAGTTTAAATGCAGCAAAAGTTGAATAGCTTACTTCCTCTTAAAGTTTTTGGTAAAGCAATCAATCAAAGCTTTATAAATAAAACACACATTTAAGAGAAGAGAACTCCATCAAAAGTATTTTTAAATATATATATATATATATATATATATATATATATATATATATATATATATATCAAACGTTTATTATTAACTATTATGCTAACAATAATGTTCAGCTTGATGCTGTTGTATGTTTCGAGTGTCTAAATTTCATTATCATCCACATATCAATGATTGTGTAATAAAAAATGTATTCATTATTAAATTAAACTTTACTAATTACAATTACATTAGATAGGTAGTATAAGTGATGCTTTAATTAATGTATACTGTTTACATAAAAATTGAAAATGAAACATATTTTTGGCGGGAAGCTATTTTTGTTGTTGTTGTTGTAATCAAACAAAAATTAATTGTAAATAGTGTATTAAAATTTAAAAAAAAAGAATAAACATCATAATTTGTCCGGGTTATTCAATTCAATGTTGTTGTTTTAAAACAAACGAATCATAATTCATCATTCACATTTCATATACTTTTTAAATTCATTATATTCAATCGTTCCACTTTTATTAAGATCACAAAATTTAAATACTTTTTCTACATCTTTACTTGGAAGTTGTGCACTATATTTATCCATATAGTTTTTAAATTCATTTTTATCTAATTTTCCATTATGATCAGCATCAACTTGAGCGAAAATGTACCACCAAAATTGATCACTATAATAAAATAAAATAAAAAAAGAAATATGTTCAATTGGAAAGTTAAACAATTAGCAAGTGGAATTAAATTTTGACTGCAGTTGTTGTTGGAGGATGTTATATCCCCAGAACTTGCTTGATAGCTATCTTAATTTTGGATTTTATTCATCGGTTGATCAGTTGACCTTGAGATCACATTTTCCACCAGGAGAATCCTTGGCTGTGATTTGCTGATGTGTTGTTAGTTTAGTGTGCTATTTTTGTGACTCAAACAAAGAACGTTACTATGATGTGTATAAATAAACTCGATTTGTGTTTATAAAATACACTTTCTACGCTATATCAAGACTTCTTCGTTAGTTCCTTTGGGGCAACAGGTCAGAGTAACATAACATATCACTGGTTCATTATCTCGTTCTCGTTTATCGACTAAGGTGAACCCGTAATAGTTTCAAACATATCAAGTGACAAGCATAACAAGTTCAATTTTTCTTTCCGAAAATAATATATTCTAAAGTATGGTAGATTACGCTTCATATTAAACAGTGTATTTATTATCTAATAAATGTACACAGTTGAACAGAGGTAATAATGTTCATCCAATAATCGGATATCTTATATACATTTTCATATTCAACAGAAAATCGGTAATATCCAGTTAGTGTATTTCAAAAAAAGTATCAGATATACAAATAAACGTGGTCAGGTAACAAAAGACGGTAAATGACAATCACAAAACTAAAACTTAGATGTAAAGAAGATTTATACACTAGAATAAAGAATAAATCTAGACAATGGAAGCTGTAATGACATGTTGTCATGTATTTTGCTAGCGCTTATAAACAGTTTCAATGTTAGAAATCATTTTAGTTTAAGTAAACATTGATTAAAGGCAGTGAATACGATCCAGTAGTATCAGGACTTAAACATTTTAACAAAAGTAGTTATGGATATATATATATATATATATATATATATATATATATATTCAGTTGAGTAGTCAAAGAAAAAAGTTTACGATAAAAGATTACGTACTACTCATCTTTTATTATTCCATCCTGGATAATTGTTTAAGCAAACAGTAAGTGATATTCTAGAATCTAGCTAGAATCTAGCAGAATAGTTACGATGAATAATCTGTGAACTTCGGTTTTTTGTGACACAACGTTTAGGGCAAAAAAATGCTGGTTATACATACTAAATGTAGTTTCTGCTCATTTCAAATCTGGAACTCTTTAAATCAGTCACACAAATGATTCAATTCTATTTTAAAATTTATTGTTTGATCAACTATGTAGTAAGTCGAAAGTTTTCTTACAATGAAGTTCGAGCTCAACCTTACTTAGTTGAACGATAAAAAAAACGTTTACCACCACTTATCTCATCGTCTTATCAGTAGTGTATATAAGTAAGTCAGTTAAGATACTAATGAATATGAGATGTTAATATTGATCTATTTTTCTGAATGAATGACCTTCATAACTAAATCATGCCCTACTCATTAAATTCATATTTAATTATATATAATTCGATAAATTGAATTTTAACTATATTTATTGTCTGCTGAACAAATTGTTTTAATCATAATGCATAATATTTTCATTAGAAAATTCATTATTTATAAACTTTTATAGATTGATTTGAAATATTTATGGGGAAATTTGAACTTACCTATCGAGTCTTCGATTATAATCAACATGAAATGCTTCCATATGTGTTTTTTTGTTACGGTATTGAATGCTTTTTAAACACACAATTTTTAACAGCTTTTTCTTGATTTTTTTGTGAATAGATAGAAAGTCTGTTGAAGATAATATGATAAGGTATAAAAAAATTGCCTGTTTAGATGTAATTAAGTTTAGAGAGTCTATATATATTTGATAGTATCACTTTCCTTCTTATATATATATATGTGTATATATAGAATTCATTATAAGGTTATTGGTTTTAAATTATCACAGCATTACTAAAAATAGTTATCCATAATCAAAACAAAATTATTTTAAACACCAATAAGAATCAATTGTTATTGTTCCTGATCAAATGATAAATGAGTGGAGTTATTTTTAGATTGAAAGTCATCATTTTTAAACATGTTTAATATTTGAGAAAAAAAAATCTACAAGATTTGAATTATCGACCATAGATTATTGAATGACTAAAAAAAAACGTATTTTAATTGGGAAATCGTCCATTCGTAATAGTATGAACTCATAATATTGATATATTATAAGTATGTCTTTCAATTTTTGTGATTACCTTCGTTAAGTTGTGATGAATTTTGTTTTAAATTTGACCAACTTTAAATTTAATTTATATTCAGTGATCATCTTTAATTGATATATTTACTAAATTACCTTTGAATATTGAGAAGACGTAATTGATCTTATTTGCTAAGTCTACAGTCAGTCAGTCAGTCAGTGAAAAGTAGTTTAAAGCAAGACAGTTATGTATTGCGACTGAAGATGTCATAGTACATTAGTGAATCGTAATAGAAAATAAGAAGACGAAAATCATAATATTTAAAATGATACTGATGACTGTTAAAAATAGATTAAATAGAAAGTTTAATTTGAGAAAAAATAAATATAAATTAGGTAAATAAGAAGATTGAAATAATTTGGAAATTTGTGATCTAGCGGGAAATGCATGATCAATGCGTGTGAGTTATGTCTTTTTAAACATACAATTCGTGGTCAATACAAAAACAAGCTTTACATCCTTGACAAAAACACTAATGAAAACTGTCAACTCACAAAACTTATAATAGATTTATACAATGTTGACTATATATGTTTCCTATGTGTACATTCGTTATATATATATATTTGTACAATACTCAGTGAATAATTTAAAGTTTGGATATACTTTACTTACGCTTTTAAACTTGTTTTATGTAAATTAGCAGTTTTAAGTGTGCTGTCTATTATATTCTTACAAAAGTTTCCTCTTTTATCGTGTTGGAAAAGCGATTGGCGATCGATAATTACCAAACAGCATCTTTGTTACTCTCAGGGTAACATTGAAAGGAACTTTTTTTGCTAGTAAGTTTATCGGTGATTTCGTTATCTGAAGAGTAGGGTTCAAATTGAAAGTGTGTGTTTTATTCTTTCTGTTTTCATTCATTGAATTTTTGGATTGACTTATTTCATGGTCAGTGAGTTTTTAAGCTGCCAACTGTCTGTATGAAAGGTAAACACATTTTAGAACAGATTCTATCGTTTCCTAGATTATTGATGAATCAGAGGTAGTAGTGGAAAAATCAAGATGGCCGCTGTTTAGGAGATCTGGTTTACGGAGTTTAGAAAAAAATTCTAAGCTTACTACAAACGAGATTACCCGATAAAATAGTCAATCCAATCTATATAAGAGTTGGTCAAAAAATTTTGTTATGGGATATTTTACAACACCACATCAACGAACTGTTTTTCATCCATTTGTATAGCACGAGTATTGAGATCACCACCGTAGTCTTCTTGATGACATCTAACTTCTTAGTTGACTTGTATATTTCCAGTACCCTTATGAAATCTTCTATTCATAAACATTCAGAGTGTAATTAATAAAAAATGTATTTTTAGTAGTCTATATCTCCTCGGTGACATTTATTCGCAAACATTTCCTACTAGTTTAACATCCACGATTATTGGTTTTTTTATTGATTTTATATTATGCCTCACTTGTTAAACAAACAGCGAAAAATGTCAATGAATCCCGTTTATTGGGTGTTTAGTATTGACTTCTCATTTTTATTTATCATCTATAACACCAGAAACTAACTGTGAAATGTTGAAGTTAAATTTCACTCTGAGTATATCTGAAAACATTAATGCACAGAACTTCACTTGTGTTTTTTCAAGCTCATACATAGAGTAGTTAATTATTTATGATCTCAATGTGTGTATTTAATTTATTAGTGTAATGATCTATATTTAACGTGGATTATTTAACCTCACATTTAGTTAGGTGAACAATACTGAATGGAGATAATAGTAATTAGTACAGATTAATTAGTTTGTTGTACAAGTTTAACCGAATATAGATTTTACTCTGATGTTTTGATTTACTCTAATGACTTTGTACGTTGTTTTTTTTGTTTTGTTATTATGTCAACAGAAATTAACCTTCAACATGAATTGATTGGAATTCGATTAAAACTTATGACAATAATTAATATCTCTATGTCATTGAAATTCAATACGTAATGTAAATATTTTATCTTTCACAGAGTTTATTTATAAGATTTAACCTATCACACATAATACCGAAACTATCATTTTCAAATAACAAATATGTATCAGTTACTAAAAATAATTGTTATTTGACTTTTGGTCATGCGATGAGAGTATTTCATCATTAGAGGTATCATTGAATTCAAATATTATATTTAAGAATAAGACTTTTTTTGAATCGGTACAATATGATCTATTATCGTTTCCTGATGCAAGAAATAATAAAGTCAAAAGTGAACTGTGATGAGTGAATAGGCAAACTATGAAACCTGTGATTAGGATGGGATATATGTGAATATAGATACTAATGTATACATAAAGTTAATTTTTAGATCACTAATGAACATAGGGGAAGCTAAATAAAACAATAACCGATCATTAAAAGATATTATCTACCTAGCTTATGATAAAAAAGTGTAACATTAAACGGACTGTAGAGAACACATACTTAATTACTTCTGTTACAACACATGTGTCATAGGCCACCGACCAGCATTCTTCAACCTACTCTGTTCTGGACCTTCTTTTCAGTTCCACTCGATTGCTGTTCAGTCTGTTCTGTCTCCACTTGTCAGTGCCATGTGTTCTTTGGTCACCTCTTTCCCTATCCCCTTAACGATTCCAGGTTAGGGGATTCCTAGTGATGTAATTTGGAAATTTCTTCAATGTTTGTCCTATCCAGCCCAACACGTTTTACTAATATCTTCCTCAGCTGGAATCTGGCTTGTTCACTTTCACTCTAAGTTGCTACTGATAGCGTATAGCCAACGAATCCAAAGTATGTTACCTGGAAAACTGTTAATGAACACCTGTATCTTTTGGATGATGGATTTCGTAGTTGTTCAAGTTTCCGTTCCATACAATAGAACTGTCTTGACGTTTATATTGAAAATTGTGATTTTGGTGTTAGTTGACAATTGTTTTGAGTTGCGGATGTTCTACACTTATAGAAATGCTTCCCTTGCCTTGCGGATCTGTGTCTTCACATCCGCATTAGACTCACTTTGTTTATCAGTGATGCTGCCTTGATATTTATGTCCAGCTTGCCACATCTAGTAAAGCTTCCCCGTCAAATGTGATAGAGATGATGGTTGGTGCATGCTGTGCTGCATCGTAGGATTTTTCTTGTTCCTTTTTGTATTTTAAGACCTGTTGCTGCAGAATCTGCTTCTGCACTGGCCGATTTCATCTGTATTCGTTGATAACTGGTGGGTTCAACATGCATCTTCTATTCAAGAGCTGTTCAAAATGCCACACATATATATTTTGCTGTTCTTTGATCACAATTTTTGGTGTGCCTTCCTTGTTCTTGACTGATCATTCTCGTTTACTATATTTTCCAGAAAGCTTTTTAGTTGTCTCGTATGGTTTTATGATATTTCCTTATCTTGCGGGTTTTTCTGCTGTCATCACTAGATCTTCTTCTTACTCGAACGTCGGCCATTGATTACCGTCTTCCTATTTTTAGTTTCTCGAATCTTGTCCAGTGTATCAACAGTGATCCGTTTCCCGTGATGTGTTCTTCTTGCAGCCCAACACCTCCTGGAATGCTGGAGTTATTGCTCCTTTAATCTCTTTTCAGTTTGTTCACGAAGTAATTCGCTCTTCTTTGAGTAGACCACATAAGTGTTGAAACGGATTACTGAAGACTATCCCATATTCGTCGAGTTTGTCAGCATTTCGAAGAAAGGCTTCACTGAACGTTTGTAACGTCTTTCAGCCAGTTGTCTGTGATTCCTTTGCTTCGTTTCTGTAATGAACACTACCAGATGATGATCTGAAGTTATATCATACCTTCCATGGACCTTCTGAGCTTTTCACTGATGCAAACATAAATGATCTGGTTCTTTGTAGTGTGATCCGGCGAAACCCATGTTGCTATATGCATGAGTTTTAGTGGAAATATGGTACAACCTATGATGATTTTATTGAAGGCACATAGATTGGCAAACTTCTCATCATTTTCATCCCTTTCTCTTAATCTGTGTCGTCTCATAATATTTTCAGATCCGGGTTCTAAAACCAATAACAACAGCAAAAACGATAGGTTGTTCATCAAAATCAAATTTCTTAATTTCAGCTAGACTACTATGTAATTTTCTTGCACAACACAGTGTTAGTCAATATGGAAATGAAACAAAAGAACCACAGACAAATGGCTAAACGACGTTACAAAAGTTCAATGAAGCCTTTCTTCAAAATGCTGACAGACTTGACAAATTTAGGATAGTCTTCAGTAATCCGCTCCGACACTTATATGATCTACTGAAATAAGAGCAAATTCCTTTGTAAAACAATTGAAAAAAGGCTGAAGAAGCCATAACTTCAGCATGCCAAGAGCTGTTGGGCTGCAAGACGAACACACATATATATATAATCTTCGCTATTGTAATTCTTTTCGTCACTAATATTGATTCCGCGTTTTATATTATTTATTAATAATGACATACTTCAATGTGAATATGATTGTAAATATTCATTGTAAATGAAAATCATGGTCATTTCATAAAATATCTCTTTAAATAATTTGAAAACAAACAAGATCATTATCTTTGGAAAATATAATACATTTTTTGTCATTTGTTGTATTCTCTCTCTATCTCTCTCTTTCTCTGTGCAGATCAGTTA